TTTGTTTATTGTTATCTTTGTTATGTATTTCTGAAAAAGAAGAAGAAAAAAATATTGGATTGTATATAAAAAATATCGGATACATCGTATTTTTAAATCCTCACAAATCCTCAAAATTGGTATCGGTCTTAAAAATCCTATATCAGGTTCTCTATGTATGTTCTCTAGTAAAAATGTGAGTGAAGTCACTGATGCAGATCACGCATGACTTTCTAAAGTAGTTGCTGTGTTCTGTAAGTTGGCTGTTGGTTGTGTGATGTGTGTGACAGCAAATTCAGGTGTGCAAGTACAGATTGCAGATGGTGTATGTGATAGTAGATATATGCTATTCACATTAAGGACACTCACACACACACACAGACACAGCAAGCTCACACCACTTCAGCTCAAACGCCTCTCAGAGTTTCAGTCTTCATTGCCTAGGAAACAGCTCCACGAGTGGCCTCTCTTCTTCTTCTTCTTCTCTCTCTCTCTCTCTCTCTCTCTCTCTCTCTCTCTCTCTCTCTCCCTCTTTTTTTCCTCCATTACCTTCTCTCTCTCTCCTTCTTTCTCTCTCCTTTTATCTCTTCTTCTTTCTTTATCTGTCTTTCTCACTCTCATTCTGGTCACTTGCTCTTTCTTTTTTTTATTTCTCTATCTCTCGCTCTTCTGCTCCCTTTGCTTCTTTCTCTGTCTCTTACTCACTCTTTCTCTGTCTCTCTCTCTCTGTCTGTCTCTCTCTCTATACTCTCCTTCCCCCTTGTCTCTCTGTCTTCCCCCGTCTCTCCCTCTCTTTCTTTCCTCTCTCTCTCTCTCTCTCTCTCTCTCTCTCTCTCTCTAAAGCCCACCTAAAGTGAAGTGGGTTGGGGGTGAGATCGCTGACTGTAATTGTGGCTCGCACACACACACACACACACACACACAAACATCTCAAGACTGCATTATTTAAAGTGTCCTTGATTGCTGTCTCTCAGAAGACTGCATTATGTCCAGATTTCTCCACATTTGCACACAGGGAGAATGTGTGGTCACTCCACTTTTGTGATGTTGTGATGTTAATGAAGGCCTTTAAACGGAAGAGCCGTACACAGAGAAGTCTCTGCCAGACGTTCTTCAGGCTTTCTGTGCTATTTGTGAACATGGCATGTTCTGATTTTACTGGACAGAAGGAGAAGTGTGAAAAGGGACATCTGTGTGTGTGTGTGTGTATGTATGTGTGTGTGCGGTATAGAGTGCTACATGAATTTAAAAAAAAACTTTAATAAAGTAGTCTAAGGGCACTTTCACATGTACCTTATTTGGTGCAAAGCAGTGAAGCTATTTGTTTAGTTCAGCCCTTTTTTTGACAGGTGTAAACACTTTATCCCATACTTGGGTGTGAATTACACAACTAAACCCCAGTCCACCAAAATCATGGGTCTCAGTCTGCTATGAAGTGAAGACTGGTCCAGTTCATTGCTGCTAATAATTAGCAGATGAACAATAAAATAATAGCGCAGCAATGCATTTAATTTTGGCATCATCAGCAACTTGATTGGTTAAATTAAAATGAACAAACCATTCAATCATAAAGAAAACAAGATCAAGTAAGTTTTTTTTATGTTTTAATTGTGAAATATGTTAAACCTCGAGGGAGATGGGGAAAAATATATTAGAGAATATTATACAGCCTCAAAACTAAATATAAATTCTACTTCTCTCAAACTGTTATGGAATCATTTTACTTATTACAGTTTGAGAGAAGTAGAATTTTGGAATGGGATATTTTTTGAGTAGCTGCCTCACCACAGGTCAGTGATGGGTCAGCTTCTTATTTCGGAGTATAACCATAGTTTTATGTTCTTGGATTAGATCATGTGTTTATCTTTGAAAGGCTAATTTTGGACCATATGTGAGCTGGTTAACTTCTCTGTTGGGTATGTTTGTGTATTGCTTCCCCAGGCGTACAAATTGGCTTCATTGTAAAAATGCTTTATAATAGTAGTACCAAACCTACAAGTGAGGGGTGTGGAGTTTGAGGGGTGTCATGTACTGACAACTGTGTCCCCCTCACTTTCAAAATGGCTGTAAGGAGGGAGCATGCTGCCTGGTGGTTTGTCAAAACTAGGCCTGCCTAGTCTTGTTTTAAAATCATATGAAGCAATGACACAGATCAAATAAAAAAATACAAAAAAGAGACATAGAATTTTAATTAACCCCTCAAAATCCCAGGCTTATTATATACTAAGGCTTATTATTCAGTCACTACATGGACTTGCAAAAGTGCAAACTGGCTGAACCATTCTTGGGTCATAGAAGTGTGTGATAAAACTTTGGGCCTGCCGGTGGGCCTGGCCATTTTAGGGGTTAATAGCTAACTGAAAGATATATGCTTTCAAATGTTTCTTAAAAGTTTGTTCCGATCTTGAGTGCCTAATAAAAGTGGAATTGAGTTCCACGGTTTAGAAGCATAGTAACAAAGGCCTCTCCATGTTTTCTTTATTTTACAGAAGGTATATGCAGAAGGCTGGTAACTGCAGATCTAAGACCATGTGTTGAAACATAAACAAGAGAGGTGCACAGTTGTTTTAAGGCCATTTAGAGCTTTAAAATCCATCCTGAAAGATATAGGCAATCATTCCATTTTTGGGGTGCTATGAGCTCTTTTTTTGTTTTCGTTAGGATCTGTGCTGCTTCATTTTGTGCAAGTTGTAGAGGATGTCCTGTTTTCTTAGAAAGCCCAGTACAGTAATCAGTTCTGCTTATAAAAAATGCATGAATACGTTTCTTTGCATCACTCTGAGAGAGAATCATTACATATAGATACTTACATGTGTATAATGGACACTGGACAGTGGGACATATCATTATTGCATTTAAATGTTAGTATTACACATAGTTACTTACATATATATAATACATATGGAACATATATGACTTCACATCCTGACTTTGTGTAAAAACAAGCGTGTGTGCCTGGGGGTGGGGGTGGGGGTGTGTGTATGCATAGAGGGGGTAGGTATTGAGAAAGGAACTTAAATGCACCTCATTTTAATGAAGGGGGCTGCTGTTGCCTGGCTACCGGCGGGGGCTGTACATCACTCCTCTACAGCTGCCGCTAACACACCAACACACAGCCTGCACTAGTCAATGAGTCTCTCTCTCTCTGTGTGTCTCTCTCTCTCTGTCCTATGCTGACACATGCACTTGCTTAGCAAGCTAACTGGCATACACATACAGACACACATGCTATTGTATTTCTCTTAACCATTGGCGATCGTGTCCAGCTGTGGGGTGTGTGGGGTGTGTGAAGGAGAAGAGAGCTAGTCGGGCAGACATGGAGACACTCAGCTGGTTCTGCAGGAGTGATGATGAAATGAAGGTAGGAGCTACTGCAGACACACACAGAGAGAGAGAGAGAGAGAGAGAGAGAGAGAGAGAGAATGTGTTCATGCTAAACAGCCTTCATGTGTGATGTCTGTACTGCTTACAGAGTCATAGGGTTCAAATCTGGTCAACACATAGCTCCTACGCAAAAGTCGTACTGGAACCGTGATGTGAGAGCAGCACAGAGAAACAGCTTGCATGTGTGTGTGTGTGTGTTTGAATGTGTCAGTCCATGTCAAACCAGACTGGACCCTGTCATCGCTGCTGAAAGCAGATCAAAGGACCTGTGCAGTAATTTCACTGTCATTCATTTAGATTCAGTCACAAGTATCTTCTGAGTTTTAATATGCAATGTTTATATGGATAAAATAGTGGTAAATCTTAAAATCTTAAAAGATATATTTTTTGGATACATTATACATTTTTTTTGCCTTGGAACACTCTGCATGTACCTTTGCCATGAATGGGTTAAAAAAACATTTTAGGCCAAAATCATATCTCAAATGTACCATATAACAATGCCTTAGGCATCAGGTAATGTATTGGTAGTGATTTCATGTAATATATTCCTGCAAGCTTGTAAAGGCTCAGAGTCAGTAAGTTTCCCTTTAATGGCACATTTACATTAAACCACCTGAGTGACTTTGTTTACACCTTAATGTAAGTATGTAGAAACAATGGGGGTATACCCCCACAAGCTTAACCTTTGGCCCATAGGCTTACTTTTCAGTTCTTAATCAGAAGACGTAAGCATTAGAATTATTCTATAACTTTCACAAAACTAAAGGGTGAAATGGTTAAAGGTTCTTAATTTTAATATATGTTAGTGAAACAAGTAAAGTAATTTTGGACCTCTTCTGTTGGCACATTTATTATGAAACCTTCATAGAGTGTAATGGGCAGCTGGTATTTTTCAGTTAAATAAATATCTAAAACTAGAAAATGTTTTGTCATAAGGTTTTGTTATGATATCAATTCAATGAAAGTTAAGTGGTCATAAGAGAGAAAAACAATAGAGGCTCTTAGGGTTAATGTTTCCAGGCAGTATACCTCACTGTGTACTTTCATTAACAATTACTGATTGTGTATTGTGCAATTTCCTTTTATAAACCATAAATGGGAATGAGGGGCAATGGAGCTGTTAGCTCAAACAGGAGAACCTATCCTCCTCTAAGCCTCACTAGATAGTACAGGGTACAAGTAAGGACAAGTTTATAGCACGGCTACCCAAAGGCACTGAGATCATACAGTCATACACCAGGTAATACACCAGTGACAGTTGGGAAGGACTGTAAAGATCTAGAGCAGAGGTCTTCAAATCTGAGCCTTGAATCCAGTTTCCGGTCCTGTATTTTGTAGTCACAGGTAGTTAACTGACCTGTTGGTGTAAATGATCAGCCACCCAGCGTCATACCTATCAGTGATTACAAAAATTCAGCACTAGAAACTGAATTCAATGTCTGGATTTGAAGATATCTGGTCTATAGCATCTACTGTATGCATCTACTTCAGGACAAGCTAGAGAGCATGGTGGAACATATACAGAATGGTAGATACAGAACATGGTGGAGCACATACAGGATAGATGATATAGAACATGGTAGAGCACATACAGGATAGACAATATAGAACATGGTGGAGCACATACAGGGTAGATGATATAGAACATGGTGGGCACATACAGGGTAGACGATATAGAACATGGTGGAGGCATACAGGATAGTAGTTATAGAGCATGGTTCAATATGAATCTAAAGTAGTTGTAAAGTGGATTACAACTTCCAGAAACAGGCTAGGAGATCATGCAAAAGTTGGGAGTTATTACAAATCATGACAGATTCAGATCATGGTCAGTTTGACATGACTACATTGGTTGTCTCTGTCCAGGTAAAGATGTCGCAGGTGAAGCAGGTGGGACTGCTGGCTGCTGGGTGCCAGCCATGGAATAAAGATGTGTGTGCAGCCAGTGGAGACAGATTTGCTTACTGTGCTACGCTTGCTATCTATGTCTACCAGGTAAATGTCACAAATTGGTTCTTGTGCTGCCTTCTCATACTCATATGGCTTCTGACTTGTGGATTTGTAATTGCCTACTCTTTGCATTCAAGTGCTTTTGTAGACAGAAACATGGAGAATTTTCTAGACAGTGTTTTATGACAGAACTCAAATTAGCGACCTGGAATTGAATTGGATTGAGTCTCATTATAATTCCAGTAGATGAAGGCAGAATTATAGCTTGGGAGGTAATCAGCCAATCAGTGGCAAAAACAGTAAAACCAAGTAAAGGTGCATCCATTTTTAAGGTTCTTCAGGTGGTCCCTGAAGGAGAATCCTAACTGGTGTCAGGTATAACCGTTTGTAGAGGTTATAAATGACCATCCGGAAGGGACATCTCTAAGCCTTAATCCAAAAGTGTTCTGTTAAATCATCTTTTCATCAAAGTTTGGGAATGTGCAAAGGTAACAGCTAATGCTCAGGAGGTTAGAATATTCTTAAGTCTCATAAGTCTCTTATATAGATAAATTTTTTCGGTGTGCAGTGACTAGGGGTGGGAATCTCTAGGCACCTCACGATTCGATTCGATTACGATTCAGAGGGCTGCGAAGCGATTATAAAATGATTATCGATGCATCTCGATGCATCTTTTTTATATACAGCATTTCTATTTTCTCACTGAGTGAGGACTTGGTAGTTTTAAAGCAAAGTATTTGTAATGATCCATAATGAATTTACTTCCAATATCTTTTATTAATAAAACAAATGGAAGGGATGAGGCAAGTGAACTGGAAGGCTCTCATTCACTGCTCTTGTCTGGAGCACATGAGACACTGCTGCCACTCATCTGCGTTAAAATGCAGTTACAGTGAAATAAGATCCAGTGGTAATGGATGTCCACGTTACAGCCGTCCTACCCATTTAATTCAGTGATTTTATAACTTCGGTTTTGGTCTTGTTGTAGAGACGGGAGGCATGGGGGGATCGCTGTGTCAGTAAAATATCTTTAAGATGGGACGTGTGCAACATAGCGCGAAAGCCCTGTTTCGCAACAACTGAGAATTGCCGTGCAGACTGCAGGTCACCTAGCAATGATGCGTCATTCGCATTTATAAGCAGCCCAGTTGGTTTCCTGGTACGTTAAATCTGCAACGAGAGACCGTCAAACACTAAACAGTTGTGAAGATGAAGTCGCTTCTCTTTCGAATTTTCCCGTTCCACCTTAAAAGGTGCCGCATTCATTAAAAGTTTTCTGGCGGAGATGGGAGGAAAGCGGCTAAAGCTAAAGCTTAAAGCAGAGCAAAGTAGGTCTGCACTCTCGTTTATATTGTTTAGCCTATACTAGCACATACTGAAACATACTGGACATTAAATGTTTGATTTTTGTTGAGAAGACAAAATGTGACTCCTTGTGACTCCTGACCTGACCTGGCTTTTAATGCAGAGGGTGCCGGTCAGATTCCTCGCTCATCCAGTTGTGTTTTTGTTATTACATTACGTTATAAATTAAATATTTAGAAAATCGATTTTTGACATTTGTGAATCGATTCAGAATCGTTCACGTCTGCATCCCAATGCATCTAAAAATCGAATTTTTCCCGCACCCCTAGCAGTGACCTTGGAATTAATACAGAACTACTGCACTGCTATGGTGCAAACTGCAGAACTCAAGCATTTGTGTTTAAAATTTTGCTAAACCCAGCTGTAGTAGCTGTAGTGACTTATTAGTGTCTATTTCAGTATCATTGTATTATTTAAGTATTATATAAGTATTATTGCTGTTTTCTGAAGATTTCTTTGTTAGTTAACCCCTTAAACTACAGGCATATTATTTAATTATTAATCTTAAAACTTCTTACTCAGAAACTACTATATATTATTTGACAGTACTATTGTTTTTTAAGCTAACCAGTATGAAACTGTCATCTAACATGTAACTGCTGTAATTACCTTTCTAATTGTTGCTGGCTAAATTCTGTCCATTCAGCTGGACCACAGATACAATGAATTTAAGCTGAGGGCCATCATGTCAGAGCACAAGAAGACCATCACGGCCATAAGCTGGTGTCCACACAACCCTGAAGTGTTTGCCAGTGCCAGCGCAGATAACCTGCTCATCATCTGGAACGTAGCCGAGCAGAAAGCAGTCGCTCGATTGGACAACACTAAAGGCATCAACTCTTCCTATATGCTTACACACTCATACACTCATAGACGATTATGCATACTCACAAGCACACACATCCTTACGTAATCTTATATTATGTATACTTTTTTACGTTTACTTGCCAATTTATTTGAAACCCCTCCTTTGTAGCTCCATCTTGCTGATGTACAATGTAGCCCATCTGCTGATGCACAATTTGAATTAGCCATCTTCTAGTGCTTCATCACTCCTAAGTTTCTGATCAACGATGCCCCTCTTAGACCAAGATTATATAAGATTAGATAAGACTTCCCTTCACTGGAACTAAGGGGCCTAGGCCAACCCCTGAAAAACAACCCTATAGCATTATCCCTCCTCCACCAAACTTTACACTTGGACAATGCAGTCAGGCAGGTAACGTTCTCCTGGCATTTGCCAAACCCAGACCCCACCCCCCCATTTTGGCACTGTGCATTTTGACGTTAGGCTTGTGTGTAACTGCTCAGCCTTGGAAACCCATTTCGTGAAGCTCCTCACATGCAGTTCTTGTGTTGATGTTGCATCCACTGGCAATTTGGAACTCGTTAGTGCGTGATTGAACAGAGGATAGGCACTATGAGCTTCAGCACTCGACGACCCCACTCTGTGGGTTTTGCGAGGTCTACCGCTTTGTGGCTAAGCTGTAGTTGCTCCTAGGTGCTTCCATTTCACAATAATAGCACTTACAGTTGACCGGCAAACTGACAGCGTTTGACCTATTCTACTGCCAGTGACAGGCTATGTGGTTAATTTTATCCACCTGTTAGCAATGGGTGTCTATATAGTGTAGCTCGAGTGGCATAACTAACTGCCTGATCCTGAGTTTGAATTCCAGCAGCATCACAGTCCTTAGTGGTCAGGAGTCTGAGACTTGGAAGCACTCATCCCCTCCAGCCTGGGAGCATCTTGTAATAGGGGAAGTCTTGAACTGCAGATGGGAATTAGCAATGAACAAATGTGAAAAATATGAATTAAGGCAACTGTTGACTAAAAACTTGTGTGAAAACGCCAACAACATCGTTGTACCTGACGCACTCATACCAGAGCCACACACATTACCATGTCAATGTCACTGTACAAGGAACCATCCATCACCCAAATAACATGTACTCAGTGGTATTCCTGTGGTCAGAAACTGACCAGTAATGATTGGAGTGGAGGAAGAATGACAAATTGCATCAGATGGGCTACAGTCTGTAATTGTACACCCATATTGTGGACCTATAAGGTATATAAACCTCATAAAGGGGACATCAAGTAGAAGTACACCGTACATCTTATTTTTAATAAAGTGGATGGTGCATTTATATAATAATGCTCTGGTGTTCCCTACAGGTATCCCTGCTTCTATAAGCTGGTGCTGGAACACGGGTGACAGTGTAGCGTTTGTCTCCCACCGTGGTCCTCTATATGTTTGGGCCGTTTCAGGGCCGGACTCAGGGGTCACTGTACACAAAGAAGCCCACAGCTTCCTATCAGACATCTGCCTGTTCCGCTGGCACCCACTGAAGAAAGGCAAAGTGGTGTTTGGCCACACAGACGGGAGCCTATCTGTGTTTCAGCCAGGTGCAGTAATAATCACTTAATCCTTTAATGAACACTCTGAAATGCTAACACGGATAAGAATAAATGATAAGCTAATATCCAGTAATCATGACCTTTTATCAACAATTATAAGTGAAAGCTAATGGGGACCTACTAGGAAAATCTTTAAGTGGCCCTCACTTTTTGTTGTTTTTGTTGTTAGCGTTTATGGGTGCAGTATTGTTTTTAAGTTGTTATGACCTTTTTTCTGAACATAAAATTAAAAATGATCAAAGACCAACACCACAGTGAGCTCAGACTGAATCCAAGACTGTTCAGACTGTTTCTCTCTCAGTGCCTAAACAAACCAAACATGGTTAACGCCACAAGTACGACCTTCCCTACGTAAAACAAAAACAAAGTAAATAACAATAATATTAAAGGGGACTGAATTATACAGAAATTTGACCGATTTTTCAAATTCCTGTATAATTCAATCTTTATGTTGTGAAAGGATTCGTTGTAGAGAAACTTACAGAAAGTGCATTGTTCACAGTGGTAGCAAGAGGAACCAGACATCTAAAGGTTTAATGCCTCTAAAAGCTCCCTTACAGTATTGTTTTATGTTTGTTTTGGTCTAAAGATTTGACCTAGAATGTTGTAAGGCAAAATAGACCCCCACATTTTTTTAAAATAAATTGTTAATTATTATTGTAATATTACATATATAAATCAAAAGACACATGTAGGTTCACTGCTGGTTTTGGGTAGTAAATAAAATGCTATATTTCTGTTGTAGACATTACGACCCTGGTTCCTATCACAACCTCTGTAAAGAAATCTGAGTCATTAAATTTCTCTAGAATGGAGCATTTTGCATCAAACCACTCTGAATGACTTTGTGTACATCTCAAAGAGTGGATTATGCAGAAATTTTGAAAAATTGGTGGAATCCCCCTTTAAGACAGTTTAAGTCAATACCACAAATCTTAGTGTCTAAAATGTTGGGACAGAATGTGAAATGCTAATAAAAACAGAAGGCAGTCATGAGTAAATTTTGTTTGACCAGTATTAAATCTAAAATAGTACAAAATGTGATATCTATGGGTCATGGGAATTCAATGGGATCAAAGGTCATGGGAATTCAGTTGTGGTTTTTGGCCTTGATCTTTATGCAAATATTTTTTTTCTCTTTTATCTTTTGATGATATTACGCACTGTAGAGGGTAAAATGCATCAATATTATTGCAATCGCTCACTGAAAAGTGTTAGATTACACATTGTTTGGCAAAGTGGTTAGCCTTGACACATCCTTGCTCATAAAGGACAAGGCTTTCCTGGATCCTCCTTTTAGACCCAAGCATAATTGCATCACCTGTTTAAGATATTTTTGAACATTTCACTTTGATAGTCTTAAATTCCTTCTGTGCCAATATTGAAAGTGTAGTGTCAGTACAAAACAATATTTTATGATGTTGTTGGCCACTGCCCCTCAACAAGGCACTTAATCCAAAATTACTCATGTTTAGCTGATATGTAAAATATATTGTATCTATACATATTTCTGTGATATATATATTCACTGCAGGCTCAAAGAACCAGAAGCATGTATTGCGTCCAGAGTCTCTGGAGGGGACCGATGAGGAGGACCCGGTCACTGCGTTGGAGTGGGACCCCCTTAGTACGGATTATCTGCTGGTGGCTAACATGCACAATGGCATAAGACTGCTGGACTCTGAGTCCCTGACCTGCGTGACCACATTCAGCTTACCCAGTGCAGCTGCGTCTGTTCAGTGCCTGGCCTGGGTACCCACAGCACCAGGCATGTTCATTACAGGAGGTGAGAGAGCAGTGTGTACACACACTATACTGCACGCTACTCTTTACTGTACTGTACATACACCAACACACTTCTAATATGCTAGGCAATGCATATACACAGTCTCTACTAAACAAATTGGATATACACACTTCATTTTGTAACATTTTTAAATTTACAGACTGGTTTAATTTAACCAGTTGAAATACATTTTTTTTTCTGGGGTGGGTAAATCAGAAGTGTTTCTATTAAGCCCCCAGTAGGTGTTTTAACAGCCTCCAGTGACAGTAAAAACTCATTTATTTATTGATTTATTTCATACAAAGCATAGCAAGACACTATTATTCACTCATGTGAACAAAACTAAGCTGATACATCACATTTATTGTACCTACTATAGATGAGCTTGTTTAATGAACCTGCTTGTTAAGCTGCACTGGTTGTATGTGCTTTGTGCTATAGGCAGATATCATGCCTGTTCAAAAAGCCACTTCTTGTATACTTTGGAGCATCCTCAGACCACATCACAGTTTCAGATGTTCACAAAATGGCTCACAGAAACACTGTTATGCTCTCATATAGTCAGGCTAAGCTAAGCAGCTTCAGAGACCGCAGCACTGGACAGTACAGTTTGTGTGACGTTCGTAATTTCATTTTTATTAGTACCAGATTAATCACAGTTTCCAAATATGACAATACAATCATATTTCCATTCTGTTTCATGCCTTATCCTCTTCTGTGAAGATTCTCAGGTTGGTGTGTTAAGGATATGGAATGTGTCGAGAGCGACACCTCTAGACAATTTAAAACTGAAGAAGACAGGATTCCACGCTCTCCATGTGTTGAACTCCCCACCAGCAAAGAAAGGTCTGATATATTGCAAAATACTGTTCTGATACAATGAAATACTGCATGGCCCAGATTGATTACAGCATGCAGGACTAGTTGAGAACTGTGGTCCTGCACAGTTTAGTGTTTTCCTGCCCAAGCACACCATTTGCAGGTTTTTAGTATGCTGAACTGTGCTGAACTCTGGTCCTCAATTTCCCTTTCCTGGTATATAGATCATTCTACCAAATTGGTTTAAAGTGAGAGTTCAAAACCCCTTTTGGACCTTTAACTGACTTGGACTAAACTTTTTTGCTTTGTGTGACCCTGTGCCTTAATTATGTTTGTTTTTTCCCACTAACAAAACATTTTGTCACTAACTAAACCAAATTTTATCAAACCATTTCTATAGTGACTGTTTCAGTAGCAACAATTTTAGCTAATTTTGAGCATAACTCAAAAATGATAGCCAGAACAGGACTAGCAAGCACAGCATTGAACAGCTGTACATACATAAAATCATAATATTTTACAATGAACCAGAAAGGTTTATGTAGATAATGACAACTGTTAAGATTACACACTGATTTTCAAAATTTGGGACACATTTACTTTAAAATAATGGGTTCTAACTGCTCACCATGTAGCCATGAGGGACAGGGATGCAGTCTCACTTCCTGCTCTAAAATGCAGGATGTGGCTAAAATAAGGCTCTGCCTATGGACTAAAACTATTTGTGTTTCAGAAGTGACAGGAAAACATTGGACAGCATTTTTTTAAGATTTTTTATTTAAAACTCATGATTACTCAATACTCATGATTAATCTAAATAGTTCAACACCACTTTAAAAGAAATCAAAAAGATTGAAAAAAAAACCTCTAAAAAATATAAAAAATTGCAAGTATTATTTTTACAAGTTGACATTTTGGGGTTAGGGTTTGGGACAGCCAGCTTCCAATAGAAAATACCCTATAAATGATGATTACGTATTTAGCTAATTACTATATCAGTTAATGCCTTGAGTTTAAATAGAACATAACAAAATTCTTGTAAATATCTAAGGTCTTAATACTGATTTTTTTTTCTTAAACCAGTTCGATATAATGGTCCATAAACAGCATGTGGTCACGTGTGGTGTCGTGTCTATGCCCTTATGTGTTTATCCTTGCATGTCTTACTATTAATTTCTCACTCTCCAGCCTTTAGCTCTGTTTCCCCATCCAAGAACCACTACACTTCCTCCACCAGTGAAGCAGTTCCTCCCCCTACTCTGTCCCAGAACCAGGCCTTCTCCCTTCCACCTGGACATGCCGTCTGCTGCTTCATGGATGGTGGGGTGGGTCTCTATGACATGGGAGCCAAGAAGTGGGACTTCCTCCGAGATCTGGTAGGAATGCAATCATGCAAAAACAGCCCTACATCCATCAGCTGATTCTAATAGTATCTAGGGTAGTGAAAGATATTGTTTAGCTAACTTGTGTTTCCTCATAGTGAATGATTAGCTCATGGATGCCAATTGTAATATATAATATTGTAACCTTTTATCTCCAAAATGGTAACTATATAATAGAAGGCACAAGAATATTCAAAATTATGTGCACTACTCTAATGAGATTTTGGACCATTTCTATCGGTCTATCTATCATGAAATGTTGTCACACTGTAAATGGTAGCTGGCATTTTCAAATGGTATAAAAATGCTAAGAGATTATGAGATGACAGCAACAATATGCAAAATGTCAGAACAATCCAAATTTCACAGTTGGAATGTGCTGTATATTGTTATTCTTATGTTAAGTAACCATTGAACGTAATTCGGTTTGGTACAAGTGGGTCATTTTCACAAAACTGACTCAGACCGTGTCCATTAATATTTGAGTTTAATAATCTTATGCAGATAAACAATATTTGTAGAACTGTAATGCAACATGGTATAGCAAAAAGGTTTACTAAAAGGTTTATTAATTTATTTCTGCTGTTTTTATTAGAAAAAAGATATGTTTTCCTTGTAAACCCTGAAAAAATGACTCAAAACAACAAAGGTGTTACAATTTGCACCGATGAGATGTGGTTCTAGTTGATTGTGCAGATTTTTAAAAACTGTTTGATGTTGCCTTTTTCAGGGTCATGTAGAAACTATATTTGACTGTAAGTTCAAGCCAGACGACCCAAACCTGCTCGCCACAGCTTCCTTTGATGGGACAATCAAAGTGTGGGACATCAACACTTTAACTGCAGTTTATACATCTCCTGGCAACGAAGGTGTTGTCTACTCCCTCTCCTGGGCTCCTGGTAATCATAATAATACTAATATTACTAATAATTATTCTACTAATACTAATAATAACAATACTCATCATCCTAAAACATAACAGACAAAAAACACAGGGAAGAAGTAATTTTGCAAAGAAAAACAACACAACAAAAGTAGTATTATCGACACTGGCTAAACAACAGCAGGAGGGAAGGGAAAAGTATTTCATAATATTTATTGACTTCACTCAAATTTTCTGTGGAAACTAACTAAGCCTCAGCTGAGTCAAGCTTATTCTTTTAGTGCTGGTTTCCTGGAATGGATCATGCATAGTCTTGGACTAAATTGCTATGTCAATAGTGAGTCACCACTGAAATTCTTTTTTAGTCTGGGCTTAGAGTCCTTCAATCATCCTTTTAAACTGTTTTAAATGTTATTACAAGCTGCAATTGAGCGACACTAATTGATTTCCATTAATGTGATCTAACATAGACAAGTTTTTAAAATGATGTTGTGGTGGTTATTGCACTGTACAGAGTTAAACCTGTTTTTTCTCATTCTTGCTACGCAAAGGAGACCTGAACTGTATAGCAGGGGCCACATCTAGGAACGGGGCATTCATCTGGGACGTGAAAAAAGGAAAAATGATCACAAGATTCAATGAGGCAAGTAAAAGTAGCTCAGTTTGTAGCTAGGTAGCTAGTGGTACTTGTTTTTTGTTGTTGCTTGTTAAGTTTTGTTTTGTCTTTTGTTGTTTGTTTTGTTTTTCTTTTTTGTTTTGCATTTGAGTGTTTCTGCAACTGCTGGAGGTTTTGGCTGTCTACATTTTTAGAAAACAGTGAAAATGTCTTTACAATTGTTACAGCAAGGACATGTTGGACATGTGTTGCAGCAAGGACATGTTGGACATGTGTTGCAGCAAGGACATGTTGCAGTAAAGACTTTTTTGCTCTTTTTGAATGTAAATGGCAAACACCAAGGCCTGTTGTATTAGCCTTGGAAGAATTTTTTTTTTAATGTATAATTCAAAATACATTAGTTATAAGTGCTACATTAAGGACATGCAGAAGATATTTAATATGAAAAGGTAATATTTACTGTGCTTTTCTGTAAATCCAGATACAACTAGATCAGTCAATATACAGGGTGATTCAAAAAGATTCATCCAATTTCAAAATTATTTATTTCACGTGTAAATCATTACAGAACAATGCAGTAAATTGTAAATGGTTTAAGTGAGCATAAAGTTTATTGTGTAATTATAGAAATTACAAATTTTCAATGCGATTTCGAAGATCATCCAGTGTTCTGGAACCAACGATGAATCCTCTGAGTTGTTGGAGGTTCACTGCCGTCGAAAATCACGTTGCACAGTTATAATCACTCTTATTGAAGTGGAGAACGCAAAACGCTTTATGCTCAGGGGTCTCCATCTCCTCGCAGACTAAAGGGAGCCAGAAACTCTATGACTCCCTCTTTCAACTGGCATATGATTGGTTCCCAGGCACCTCACGGTTGTAAAAATATGGCACTTTGAAATCGGATGAATCTTTTTGAATCACCCTGTATTTAGCAACAGTTTTTTATTTGAAAATGTTTTATGACTTCTGTGTTATGTTTTCTATGCGTTATGCTCAAAATATGAACATAGAGCCAAAAATCTACTGCTGGAACCCAAAAGTGCCCATAGTGGCGCGGCCATTGACGCAGAATCATGTCTAAAAGAAAAAGAAATATCTAACTGTAATGCTAGTAATCTTTTTCTGTGATAATTTATGTTTCGCAGCATGGGAAGAACGGCATCTTTTGCATTGCTTGGAGTCATAAGGATTCAAAAAGAATAGCCACATGCAGTGGGGATGGGTTTTGGTGAGTGTTAGTCAGATTTAAAGCTATTTGAAAATGCTCATTCCTCTTATGAGATCTGACATTCATATCTCTCTGTTTTAAATTTTTTTCATTTGCACACTGGCTCCAGTATAATTAGAACCATAGATGGCAAAATATTACATAAATACAAGCACCCAGCAGCTGTGTTTGGATGTGACTGGAGTCAAAATAACAAGTGAGTATTTCAGCATTGGAAGAAAGGTAATATGCACTCACTGTCCACTTTATTAGATACGTCTACTGTGTGCTTCCACTTGCTCGCCACTTTATGGTGTCCACCTGTCTTATAGGTCCATTATTTAGTTGCTGCACAATTTATCAGTCCCCCTTTACCCAATTCATTAGTAGCCACTTTATGACCACAGGACCACCACTGACCAGGTGGGGGAACATTCTCAGCACAGCAGTGACACAAACCATGGATGAACAAATCAGCTACGGTCTTTAACTGTACATCAGCATGGTGTAGCTACAAGAGTGGTGTTTCTAATAAAGTGGACAATGAGTGCTTTGGGCCACAAAAAATCTATTAATATCCAATCTGTTGATTTAGTTATGATTCATCTAAAAAGAAAAAATAATTGCTTATTCCCTGTCACTCTCTCTCACCCCCCCTTTTCTGCTTTTCTGTCATCTGTCTCTCTCTCTCTCTCACCCCCCCTTTTCTGCTTTTCTGTCATCTGTCTCTCTCTCTCTCTCTCTCTCTCTCTCTCTTTGTCTCTCTCTCTCTCTCTCTCTGTCTCTCTCTCTCTCTCTCTCTGTCTCTCTCTCTCTCTCTCAGAGACATGATAGCAACTGGATGTGAAGATAAGAATGTAAGGGTCTATTATTTGGCTACCAGCTCAGATCAGCCTCTGAAAGTGTTTACAGGTCACACAGCCAAAGTGTTCCACGTGCGCTGGTCTCCTCTCCGAGAGGGCATCCTCTGCAGCGGTTCAGATGATGGGTAATTTATCAATAACACTGTTTTTGTCCAGTGAACACTAAGTACCTTTTTGCAATTTTTTTTCTATTATATAATATTTGCGTCATGTTGGTGCCTGTCTCTCTTTTGTGTTTTACTGAAATCGACCAGTGCACAATCGCTGGTGCAAGTCATAGTTTCATTCTTAGTACTGTGTTCTACAGGACGGTGCGTATTTGGGACTACACCCAGGATGCTTGTATTAATGTACTGAGTGGACACACAGCCCCTGTGCGAGGGCTCATGTGGAACTCAGAGGTCCCATACCTGCTGACCTCAGGGAGCTGGGACTACACCATCCGTGTGTGGGATACCAGAGATGGGACCTGTCTGGACACTGTCTATGACCATGGAGCTGATGTCTATGGTACTAAGTTCAGTAATTTCATTTATTCACTTGACATCTATAGTTCCACCTTATTGATTACAGGGTAGAATTAATTTTCTAACTGTCAATGGTAACATCATTAGCGTTATATATTCAGGTTTTTACATCAACCTGATGCTAGCTTATTAAAATAAAGAATTAAAATATTAAAAGTTAGAGTATTTCATTGTTTGCAAAATCACAGGACTGAAAAGGACTGTCTTTGGAATGTTTTTCCTCCCACCAGGCGGAAATGGGTTTCCATACAAAAGCACAAGTTAAATATATGGTTATATTGCGCTGACCGTATTTTAATGTGTTAATGTGTTAATATGCTGGCCAAAGTTGCTCATTTACCTGGAATTTCTTAGTAGATAAGTCGTTAAATTAGCCACCCCCACAGGCACAAAGTGTTGGTGGTAATTAGTAATGAAATCACTTTCTTCCTTACCCCAGTTGTAGCTGATCAAGATTTGTTTGGTGTCTGAAATTTGCTTGTTTAGTTTTTTCACCAGAGCTTCGAAGCTACTCTAGCAAACGTCTCAAACCAAGTAATTTGTGTGAGCAGGTCTGACGTGCCATCCCAGTCGCCCCTTCACAATGGCCTCCTGCTCAAGAGACTCCACCGTCCGGCTTTGGTCCCTAACACCTCTCATCGCTCCACTGCTTGTCAACATCCTCACTGACCACAGCTGGGATGACATCATAGGAAACACCGGTAAGCCATTATTTCAAAAAGAACCAAATGTATGAAATAAACATGAACTCACATGACACTTTCTTTGAGAGGTGAGAATCCAAAGAGCCCAATAGGATGATGAGAATTTCTGGGGCAATTGCTGTGCTTAGAATAGCCAACCACTTCACATAATATCTGCTTAAAAACTGACCAAGGATGAATGTGGTAGGAAATGTGCATTACCAGTGTTGTCAAGCAATTGCCAGTCACTGTTAAATTGTATTAGTCTCAGTAATGGTTTAGAGGATCATACACTGTCAGAAAAAAGGGTGCTGTACAGGTACACTGTGGCATATCAGGATACAAACAATGTAAATGTACTTTAAGGTCCAGTTGTGTGCCTCAGGGGGTGCCCAATTTCTGTCCTGGGGACCACATGTTCTGCATGTTTTTGTGCACATTTTGGACTAACACCTGAAATGCTTATTAATTAGTTAAGGAGCTGAATCAAGTGTGCTAAATGAGGGTAAGCATAAAAATCTGCTTAGTCTGCGAAAATGAGTATACTAGATCCAAAAAAAATACACTAGGTCCACTGTCCCAGGGAAAAGATGCATATTTGTACCTTACATATCTAACATTAAAAAAAGTATAATAAGAATAAAGTATAGTTATAGGCCTTAAATAAAGGTACTAAAGACTTATGTGAGGACCACCACCCCAGTGACAGTTTCATACCTTTGTTTCTGAGAGAGTAGGTTAATATGGCAGCATATTTTATATGATAGAATATTGCACTTTTGAGCTTCATTGTGGTGTGTGTTCTCTGTGTGTAGATCGGGCGATGGTCCCTGGTGCTCCTCCTCTCCTCTGTGGAAAAGTCTCCAGAGACATCAAGCAGGAGTTGGACAAACTCTCCAGTGACGTTTGCACAAAGAAGCTCCGCTGGTTCTCCGAATGCTTCTCGGTCAGTAAAGCTAAACAGAGCACAGTTATGAAGCCTCTGAGCACCGGAGCCAAGCACTGATGCATTTTGTGGAATTGCGTGGGAGAGTTTGTGAGATGTCATGTGTTTGTAGCCTCCAGGAGGGAGCCATAACCTGTGGGATTTGGTGGCTGTGATAAATGGGCAAGACGACAGCCTGCTGCCTCAAAACTATGGCCAGGGTATCATGCATATGAAACACCTTGTACGCTTCAAAACGGTATGTGTATTATTAGATATTATAAACTAGATTCCAGATGGCTATTCAATAATATCCTGTAGTTATGTATTTATAGTAGGACTATCTGCCTCAAGATTTATTCTGCACTTTATAAAAACAAAGGCAATCTGGATACTAATTTTAATATAAATTCATATGGAGTCATAATTACCACACATTTGTGGTAAATCTGTGGTAATTATAAACTGATTTATGGGTGACATGAGTGATAATACAGTACCATGCCAGCAAAACACTACATAACAATAGAAAAAATACAAATAAATACAATGAAAATCATGAACAGCACACTTGATTTAATTAAAGAAGGATTGGATGATACTGGATGATAACTCAAAATACTGAACTTCCTCAATGAAAGATTTGGAAATGGTTGAGCTAACAAACTTTAAAGCCAGGCGTACACTGTGCGATTTTAGCCCGATTTTAAGCCCGATTTTAAGCCCGGTTTGGTCGGAGCTGACTGAATTTCATGATCGGGCCAAATTTCAGCTTTATCGGCCGTCGTTTGCCATGCAGTGTGAGAGGGGAAACGATGCCCAATTAACTGCCCAAACGAGCTCCGATTAATGAGTTGGACGACTGGATGGATTTCTGACCCTGTCAGAAATTTTGGTCGCTTGTCTCATAGTCGGAGTAGCCTCATGAACCGATTTCTCAAAGTCGCACCCAAAACCACATACAATCACAACCACCGCTCCTGCACGGAGGCAAAAGTCCACATTTGCGGCACCAGTGTCCGTTGAATTGAGAGGTTTAAATATATAGACCACCTGTGCTTCAGTGCACAGTGTGGCACAAGTTAGCAAAGCTGTTGTAGCACGGTTTGTCAATGGCTGAATCTGGCTTCTACACCAAAACAGTGCACTGTTTGTACAGTATGGAACTGTGCACACATGGCTGAATCTCAGAAGGCTATTTATTAGACATGTGATGCACTTTATGGGTGCAGAAGTATTTAATTATTGCAACTATTTTATTATGAAGTGCACTATGTAGGGAGAGGGAGTCATTTGAGATTCAGCCAGTGTTTTGATCCGGACATCGGAGGCGCAGCATGCTGTTTTGAATGAAACAGCTTTATTGGTAATTATCTGCAGACAAAGCTGTCTGTAAGGGCCGCATTTCACGTGTCATGTCAGTCGGACAGAGTGTTTTCGTACAGTGTGAACGTATAAATCACAGGCTTTGGCCATACATGATGGGCGATTCAAACAGTGTGAGTTGACACCAAAGAAGAAGATTTCTAAAATCGCAGTGTATGCCTGGCTTAGCACATGAAAATCACAATATGTTGTTTATTTGTTTTTATTGCAAAGTTAGAGTTTTTAACAAGTAAATACTTACTGCCCAGATAAATAGATTTACATATTTCACTTATTTTCACTTAGAAAATCAATGAAGTAAGCAGTCTGACATGTTAACATGCGAAGACTGTAGCTTTTAATGAATAGTAGAACAGAAACCGTATGTCCATATGTATGAGATATGTATGAGTGCTAGCTTTAAGCTTGTTCATTATTGTACATATTATTCTGCTACAGTATCTCTCTCTCGTTTCCAGTCTGAAGCCCAAGAGCTGACCATAGTGAAAATGTCGAAGTTTGGGGGAGGGATTGGAGCACCCAGTAAAGAGGAGAGACTAAAGGCTGCAGCTGAAATCCACCTGAGATTGGGCCAGATCCAGAGATACTGTGAACTAATGGTGGAACTGGGAGAGGTACTTAACATACTGGACATTTAAAATTTGTCCATGTACACTTGAGTTGCAGAGCCATGGCACTGCATAGTTTTGTGGCTGTCGTAAGAAAACACTGTAACTCCATTTGTTCATTTTTAAATTACATTAACCCTGTAAGGCTGATGCAAAATGTAGCTGTTTCTGCTGTTTATTCTGCTCTTTTCCGTTAATCATATGACTTCTTAACACTGTAACACTCATTTATTTGATATGTAAAAAACGTGAGGTTAGATTTTTATTCAGTTCTACATACTGCATTATTGAACAAGAAAACACATTAATAGCAATAGTCGCATATCAGTCATATTTAATTGTTACTCTAATGAAACAAATGAATAATTAGCTCTTACTATTCCGAACCGCACTCTGAATAAGATGAAAAACACACAAGAAAAACACAGTGCATCCAACAATAAAGACTGCATCTTTAACATAGTGATAAAAAACATTTTAGCACGTAGAAAGCACTGTAACTCCTTTTATGGCAGATTTAAACAGCTTTAAAGGGCCATTGTTAAATTCTCCAAATAGATTGCAGGTGAGGTGCTGGGTTTGACAAGTTCTTTCTAACTCTTATAATGTTATTAAGATACCATATTGTCTTACAACAGCAAAGGTTTAGTTATTTTTTCCCTTTTATGATATACCTGATGGGACTCAAATTGGTGTTAATTATATTGTGAGTTGAATCTGTTGTACTAAAGGGGGGCTCTAGGACTGAAGTTTGAGGACCATAGTGTGATGGCAGAGACTCTTATTGGTCTGAAATGATGTGCTTGGATCTGTCGTGTCTTAGTACCTGCAGTTCTTTAAATCTTCTTCATTTTACTTTTTTTCAGTGGGAGAAGGCATTGTCTGTGGCGCCTGGAGTGTCCATGAAATACTGGAAGAAACTGATGCAAAGGTGTTTTCCAGAATACCAAGTACCTACACTCACTGCCAGCCACTCTATTAGAAACTCCTCCCATATGTCTTATAGCTCCACCTTGCTGGTATACAAGAAGAGACTGTAGAGCATCTGCTGGTGCACAGTTTTTGTGAGCCATCCTCTAGGCATTTATCAGTGGTCAGTTTCTGACCACAGAGCTGCTCTTGGCTGATCAACCTAGCAGTGATATTGATGTGTGTAAAAGCCCCAGTGACACCACTGTGTCTGATACATTTGTACCAGCACCACACACACTATCATGTAATATGATAGTGGTTTTGAACAGTTGTACACACATAATTTCATGTTTTTCATTAAAACACAAAAAGTGAAGTACAGAAAATATTTGTTTTGGCCATGAACATTCTTAGGGTCAGACATTTTCAGACTTTTCAGATTTTCAGACGTTGTGACACATTTACTTCAAAACAATGGGATCTAACTGCTCACTATGTGGCCATGTGAGACAGGGATGCAGTCTCACTTTCTGCTATTAAATGCAGGCATGTGGCTAAAATAGGGCTCCACCTCTGCAGTAAAACTCTATTTGTTTTGGTAGTGACATCAAAACATGACACAGCATTTTTTGAAGAAAGTTTTTTTCAACTTCAAATGAAATTAAAAATATCTTAAAAGAAAACACAAGAAATTAAGCATTATTTTCACAAGTTGAAATTTAAGGTTTGAAACAGTCACCATCCAATAGAAAATACCTTGCAAATGATGATTTTGTATATTTACTTAGCATATTACTATCTCAATTAATGCCTTGTGATTAAATAGATCATAACAGAATCCTAGGTCTGAATACTTATTTGTATTTTTTTATAGTATTTTTTTCTTACTGTGGGACCACAGTTTGAACTAATTCATATAGTAGATCTGTAAGGTAGGTGGAGCTCATAAAGTGGACACTGAATGTACAGTTAGTTTCTGAAAATTTTTCCCAGCTCACTTTGCCTTATTCAGCAGGGCCCTGTTTAGCTTTTTGAGCTTATACAAAAAACTATTTACAAAGTGCAGGAAAATTTTAAATAGTGAATACACAATTTTATTATAGAGCTTGATACATCTTCAAAGCATGAATATTTTTTAATTATGCAGGAGAGCAGATCAGCTGATGCAGGAGGGCAATGATGATGTCATCCCATACTGCATCGCCACTGGCGACGTGAAGAAGCTGGTGAATTTCTTCACTTCCAGAGGCCAGCTGAAAGAGGCTCTTCTGGTGGCACAGGTACTTGCACACCTGAATCCAGGTACATGGGGCAAAAGTCAAAGACCACCTTTTATTATTTGATTTCCATTCAAATCAACCATTAAGTACAAGGAAATCATTTTCAGGAGATATTTCTGAGGATTAGTTATAAGATAATCAACTTGCATAAGGAAGTAGAAAGTCAAAGGAAAATGAAAAAAAGGTGTGCAAAAAATTATTAAAACAACCGTGCAAGACCTGGTAGACCACCAAAGTGTCACCTTCAAATAAAAGTACTTGTTTCAGATCTGAAAAAGTCCACAGGTGTTTCTGTTTATCCTGCCACTGTGAGACTCAGGGGGTCAAACAAAGAAGCTGCTGGTTTTCCCAGAACAATGCGCTGACCACCCCAGAGCCCAGACCTCAACATCACTGAATGTGTTTAGGATTGTAATGTGTGTAATTGTGATGCAACCAGCTAGACTGAACTTCGGTGTGAAAAAATATCCCTGCAGTTCTTTGTGAAACTGAAAGCAAATCTCCTGAGAAGACTGTAAGCTGTAAAAAAAGACAAAGGGTTGAAACACGAAATACTAAAGCAATTGATTTTATTTAGATGTCTAGGCTTTGGTGTAATTTTCTGTTTAATAAATGTGTTCTGCTTTTTTCCTGATGTTGAAAAATGAATAATTTGCACTAAATTGGCATTTTGGCTAGAAGTTAAATACATGAAAGGTTTTGTCTTTGACTTTTGCACAATACTGTATTCTGTTCACGTGCTGGGATACATTGACAGCATGTTGCAATATATTTATTTTTATACTGAGATTGAGATTGTCCAGGTTAATGTCAGTTGAAGCTGAAACATAAAACAAAGTTGAAGGTGAAACATTTTACTGTGTTGTTGCATGACTAAATTTGCGTGTGTATGTGTGTGTGTTTCGATCAGGGAGCTTGTGAAGGGAACATCCATGGACCTCAGATTTTCTCCATCAACCACTCTGCAGGCCCAGACAACGATAACATTGAGACATATACTGGGTTAGTGCGCACACACACACACACACACACACACACACACACACACACACACACACACACACACACACTCACACACTCTTAAAGTAGCTTCACTGAATGTGTGGTACTACAGTCATCTATGTTACCACGTTACTTATCAAATACAAAATAAATGACAAAGTCTGCACAAGCAAATCATGACTAACAGAGTGCATAGGCGGCAGCATGTGTGTATTTATGTAGGTTAATACAACAGTCAGCATCATCACATACAGAGAATTAATGGCCTAGAAAAATAGTCAGAAGGCCTGTAACCTGGAAAATTAACAGTAGATTATAAGTAAAATGTTGGAGATACATACAAATGCAAATTATTGTCTCTAGACACGCTTAATAAATAAATAAATAATCATATTCATTTAGATATGAAAGTTAAGTTAGATCAGCTGTCTTTCTCTGAGAACTAATATTTGTTGGGAAAAATTATCAGACAAAAAATAATCATACAATTATTGTACTCTTTTCCTCTCTGTCTGTCTCCCTGTCTGTCTGTTTCTCTCTTTATCTCTCTCTCTCTCTCTCTCTCTGTGTCTCTCTCTCGTTCTCCCTCTGTCTCTTTCTGCTTCTATCTCTCTTTCTGTGCCTGTCTGTCTCTATCTCTCTGTCTATTTCTCTTGTCTTTCTCTATCTCACTCTCTCTCCCTCTCCAGGCTGTTACATGGAGTGTGTAAAGAACTGGCAGAGTGGTATTTTCAGGATGGACGTGCAGTACTGGCCGCCTGCTGTCATCTGGCAGTGGATAACACAGAGGTAAAAGAACCGCACTAAGACAAGCTTCTTTTCATACCGATGTGAAAAGTATTTTGTTTGTTTGAAAAATAAGCCTTAATTGTGAATATTATTAGCTGGTTTCATGGACCTAGATTCATAATAAGCCTGGACTAGACTTGATTCGTATGTGGAAAACCAGCTGAAAATGTAACATTACAACATATTAATATATGGATATATAGTAAGGATTTACAATGAAATCAGAATCACATTGGTATTGGCAGATAATTGTTAAAAGACTGGATGATTGTGCTAAAATCTCCATGTTATTCATGGTACTGCATTAGTAATCGTTTACAAATCCGTTACACTGCTCTGTAATGCTAATCCAGGATTTGGTTCCAGTTTTTATGTATCAGCTTCAGCATCAACAGATACATGCATGAAAAATATCAGATATCGCCGTCAGCCCAGGATTTCCATATCAGTGTATCCCTGATATTTAGCAAAAAGAACTCAATAAAGTGCCTTCTTACATTTTAACTGCTCAATCAGAAGTGTTAGTTATTATTAATATTGAAGTAAATTTTGGGATAGGGATTTGAAACAGTGTTTGTGTGTGTGTGTGTGTGTGTAGCTGGCGATGGCAAGTCTGATCAGAGGCAATGAGCTGGAGCTGGCGGTGTGTGTGGGGACAGTGCTGGGAGAATCAGCCAGCCAGGCCACTCACTATGTCCTGGAACTGCTGGCCAGGAAATACATGACCACAGCCACATGGTGAGAGTGACTAGAGTCTGTTAAACACTTTGATTTTCTATCCAGCTTACTAGCTCTACATACATATGTATATATATGTATATATACTTGATTCATTGCCAGCAATTTTTTAGTATTGGTGTTATCAAATAGGTGTTGCAGTCTTAACACCATTTTTTTACAACGGACATCATCCCAGAACAGCTTTACAGATCTTACACAGACTTTGTCATCACACCTTTAATGTTTTCCACAGTTGTTTTTAAAATCATCATAGTCTCTGTTTTTTGTTTTTGTTGCTGTGGCTTGAAGCTCACCTGTTGTGTTTTATCATCTCCATCTGTCTCTAGCTTTCCATTTGTCGGAAACAGGTATTCTGCTTTCACCAAATGTTTTGGTTTTATTGTTGTCTGCAAGCAACATCATTACCTACATAGGCTACAACTTACAATGAATTGATACTTCACCTATTAATGTCTATATCTGAAATTTTAAATTTCCTTCAGTCTATATTTTCTCTGTGCTTGTCTGAAGTCAAAATGATCAAACCATATAGCTAGAAAGAAAAGAAAAAGAAACAAAATTTCTATTTATTGGCTGAGTTTAACATATTGGGGGAAAACAATTTACTTGTGCCATAACTTTTGTACTGAGCCCCTAAATGGCTGTGGTTAAAAGTTAATGACATTACGTTCCCTCGCAAAGGTTTTGCATTCTCTTGCAAAAAATTATGCATTTTGCATTACAATGCAAAAGCTTTGCAATGCAAATTTGCTTGCAAAAGCTGTGCTTTGCTTAAGCTCAGACATGGAGCAGCTCATTGAATTTTATGTTGATCTTGGATTGAAATATAAAGACATAGTGTCACTTCTCAAAATCAAACATGATTATGCTATTAGTGAGCGCAAACTGAAACTGAAGCTCTAATGGAGGCAGTGTCGCTGGGCACCTCTGGTCCTACGTTTGCTTGCTGTCTGATGAGCATATATTTTGCGAGGGAATAAAAAACATTTGCAAGGGAATGCAATGTCATTAACTTTTTTTTTTAACCACTTTTGCACAGAGCACATTTTATGTTTTATTTTTTCCCCTAATGTGTTTAATTCAGCAAATACACTGTAAATGTGTATTACAATGTGCTGAACTGTGTTCTCTGTATAAGATATGTTAACTTATTTTGACTTATAAAATCAACAAAACATATAATATGACTAAATACTAACAATAAAAAGTCTTAATTTCTTAGTAAATAAATGTAAATTAATTTAAAATATGTATTGTTAGACATTCCTCCAAGGTATAACTGTACGAAACCTTTTGAATAAAGGCTTATCAGAACAAATTCTGCAGCATGTCCTTATCATAATAAAATTCTTAGACATGGAAATGTTAATTTCATTAAAAATAATAGATCAATTTCAGGTATAAACTGATTTATTACAGTTGATAAAGCAGTTGCTGTAATTATGTAATTGTGTAATGAATTTCCAATAGTATACAGCCTCTCTTTCCTAATTTGTGTGTTCTCGCTCTCTCGTGCTTTCTGCTCCCCAGGGACCTGGCTGTCAGGCTGCTGCAGATGATTCCTGATAATGAGATCCTTTTAGCCAAACTGTGTGCCTTCTACCCTGGCAGCTCCGCTGAAATCAACGACCTGCACGAAAAGGTGACCGCTTTACATGACACTGCATATAGCAAATCTCACAAAGAAAGGCATAATTTGTACTTTTCCTCTTAGTTGGTTTCAAACTTCAAATCTTAGCTAAAAGCAATGTAAACATTTTTCATTAGCTCTGAAATTAGCCTGGACTCAGGTTTACACTTTATTCTATAGTTTAGAATCATTTGTAATATTAATATATATTTTTTAAATACAAAAATAACAAATATTACAATATTTAAATATAGATTTACTGGACACCAATATATATTTTAGATGTTTTTGCGACATTTTAGGTATTTAAGGAACAACACAAAGTTATTAAATAATAAATAATATACTATAATTCTCCACTGATAGTCATTTTTATCAATAATTTGCCTCAAGATTTGATCACCACAATTTAAACATGAGTCATTCTGGATTTTAATTTTATTTTAATTTAATTCTAGAAATGAATTGTATTAGAACTTCATTCTGGATATTAATTGTATTATTAACTTAGACCAATGAGCCAAAACATTATGACCACTCAGAGATGATGCAAATAATGTTGATTATCTTGTAACAACAGCACATGTCAAGATCTGGGATATATTAGATGGTAAAATAACTAATGGAAGAGCTACTGTGGCACAAGTCACAGAAACTTTAATGATAGCTAAAGGAGGAGTGTATCACTCTGCTGTGTACGAGGCTGGATAGCTGCAGACTGGTCGAGTGCCAAAGCTTACCCTTGTCCGCCATCAAAAGCCCCTACAATGGACATAGATGTGTCACAACTGGATCTTTGAGCAGAAGAAGTTTGCCTGATCCGACGAGTCCCATTTTCTTTTACATCAGTGGATAACTGGGTACGTGTGTGCTGTTTAACTGAGAAAGTGATGGCACCAGGATGCACTGTAAGAAGAACACATGCTGGTAGGGAGAGTGTGATGCTCTGGGGAACCCTTGGTCCAGGCATTCATGTGGATGCCAATTTGTCATGTGTCACCTACCTAAACATTGTTGTGGATCAGGTCATGGCAACAGTATTCCCTGATGGCCTCTTTTAGCAGGATAATGCACTCTGCCACACTGCACACATTGTTTAGGAATGGTTTGAAAAACATGCTGAACAGTTAAAGGTGTTGCCCTGGACTCCAAATTCCCCTGGTCTCCATCCGATCAAGCATCTGTGGGATGTGCCGGAATAATATGGCCAATCTGAGGCGGCTACACTTCGCAATGTACAGGACTTAAAGGACTTGCTGCTAATGTCTTGGTGCCAGATACTACAGGGTATCTTCACAGGAGTCCATGTCCCAGCAGGTCAGAGCTATTTTGTCAGCACACTGAGAACCAAAAGCACATTAGGCAGGTGCTCATAATGTTTTGGCTCATCACTGTAATTACTCATGTTTTTAGCCTTTTTTAGTAAATTTAGAATCATTTGCAGTTCTGTCATACATTCATCATTCTGGACACATCTTCATTTTATTTTACAGCTTCCTTATTGACTAATTGGAAAGCTGTGAATTGTGTAAGGCTAGCATATTAGAATAATATTACATATTTATCTGTTGTCATATAGAAAACATTTTGAATTATAGCATTTTTGAAACCAAAAGTGTCAGCCAGTATAATCCATTAAATAAATCTGTTTGCTTTCTAATTTCTAATTGAAAATTGCTGATTGCTTGCAATTTTGTTTGAATGGGGTGGCACCACAGATGTGTTGGTTAAAAAAAAACAAAAACAAAACAAAATGTGCTAGTTGAACTGCAGTTGACTGACAAATGACAAAATTCTCTGACTGATAAAAGACAGCTGGTCCACTGACCTACTGACTAACTAAAACTTTCAACGCTGCATATAGCAAATCTCTTTTTCCAAGCAAGCCAATTGCCTATTTTTTATTGAAGGGTGGACATCCTTTGTAAACAGATAACATATTGAGTGTTATGAGCTTTCCCATTCATTTTCCACCCAGTGACCTGTCTCCTCCTTTATAATGTCTCTAGTGGTAATAACTGTGCTCCTTTATAATGTCTCTGGTTCTGCTCAGACAGTAAATTTTGCTAGCTGTCATCTCTGAAGAACATCATATCTTACTTTTGCAGGGTAGCAGTTAGAAATACTGGAATATTTAACCAATGTCACATAGTGCCTTAGTTTGTATATTGCAAAAAAACTTTTTTCACTGGATTATTGAGCTGCAGCTTCTCTCACTAAACACAAACTCATGAAGGTTTTGTTCTTTGGTAAGTGTCCCATTCCCTCAGCTGAAATGGAGATTTTGATTGGTTCTCCAATCGAAGTTTAGCTGTCTATCTGTTCATACCATAGCAGTCCATATAGTTTAGGAAGAGCAAAAATTTTTACCAATGTAAGCATTCAGAACTCAGTCAAAATTTGATGGGGCATCATCCCAGTACTTTGAAAAGTGGTTCTTCATATGTCCATGCTTCCTGCACCCCTGTGTATGAAAACTGTTTTTTGTTGTTGCTGTTGTTGTTGTTTCATTAGTGTGGTTTGCCAAGCTTGGAGGAGTGTAAAGAGCTGGCAGAGGCAGCGCAGGATGAGGAAGAAATCCTCCAGGCAGTGAAGTATTACCTGCTCAGCCCCGAACCAGAAAAAGCCCTGCCTATTGGAATCACATTTGTCAAAGGTGTTTATATGTGTTTGTGAGTGTCAGAAAGTGTGTGTGTGTATCACTTGGTTTTGTGGACAGTGGGTATACATACAGTATTTCGTTACATTGATTGAGCACAGGAAGTTTCCACAGGGTTTATCTAGTTTTCTCAGACAAAGGATTTTTCCGCATCCACACAGAGCAGTTGAGCTGTCCTGATTGGACTGTGGACTCAGTCTTTCCAACTCTGGACCTCTTGAGCTACATCAGGACTGACCGGCTCATTCTGACCAAGTGCAGCGAGTAAGTGAGTTTACAGTGCTGCCCAAGATCCTCATGAAAATAAATCAACAAAAAATATCAGTATTTTCAAGGCAGGACATTCCCTGCAATTTAACACTAGCACTCATATTTATCCATGTGTATTTTCTCAGGGACCGGAACGAGCTGCTGATTCTCTGTGGCTATATCGGAGCATTGCTTGCCATTGGACGGCAATACTCCAGCATAGTGCCGGCACTGTATGAATATACGAGGTAATGGTCAAAGTATTAATCAACAGCTTTAATTTCATTTTCAAAATATTTTAAATGTTTTCTGGCATAATTCAATCAGTAAGATGTGAAGTCATTCAGACTGGTTTGATGTGAAATGGTTAATTGTAGAGAAACAGACATAGATTTCATTACAGTGGTGGGGTCACAATGTTTGCAACACAAGTATATTAATTTACTACCCAGAACAACTACATGTTTTTGTATATAATGTTGATAATGGTAAACTTGTGCTAAATAAGTTTTTGTTGGGTACCTTTTTGCCTCAGAACACACTGCATGTACCTCTTCACTATGAATGGCTTTAAAAAATACAGTTTAGGTCAAAAGCTTATCTCAAAACTATCCTATGTTTAAACTATTGAAGTCTGACAGTGATGCGTATTCTTAACCATGTCTTGTAATAACCTTCTTTAAAGTAGATTTAATACACATTCTTTAGACTCATTCTGGTTCCCAGTGCAAAAGTTTGTAAACATCAAGTTTCCACAGTTTCTCTAAAATTTCACTTTGCACCACTCTGTTTATATCTTGCAGAAATTTTGAATTCCCCTTTAAGATAAGAGCACTGGACTTAGATCAGATTCTCCCTATCTAGTTTGTCTCTAAGCAGACATCATATTGGGAGGATGAGCATTTCAGAAACATAACCTCTTCCTCACCCTCTGTCTGTCACTTGCTTGCTGCTGTTTCTTTCGCTTGCTCTCCTTGTTTGTGACACACTGTCTATCTCTCTCTCTCTCACTCTCTCTCTCTCAGTCAGTTGCTAAAACGGAGGGAAGTGGCTGTTCCTCTGCAGATTGAACAGCTATCAGTGGAGCTGGAGGCCTGGAGAGCCTGCACACACTCACTCAACAAGTCAGTCTCTCTTTCTCTCTCTCTTTCGCACACACACACACACACACACACACACACACACACACACACATGCATGAACGTATGCACGATAATAACCTCTCAAGCACTATATTTCTGTACATTAAGACATTGAGTCTCATAATCCAGTCCAATCTACACTCTTAGCAAAAAAGGTTCTATATAGTGTTTAGTAACAAAAAAATGTTCTTTTACTTGTAACAATACTGGAACCCTTTTTGACACTTTATAGCTGTGGTTCCCCAACCGTTTTACACTCCCAAACCCAATCAGACCTCCTGACGTGTGTCTTACTCCATACACACACAAATACGCATATTGTCATTGTGCACATCGTCGCTGTCCAAAAAACAAGGATCTCATTTTTCCCAGTTTTGCTTTTCTGTATCTTTTGAGCTCAGCAGCTGCCCTTTTTATTGCTTGAAAATTTCATGATAAATGAACCGATAAAAATGCTTTAAATTTGCTTGGAATAAAATCTCTTGATCTTACATTAAAAGTTAAGAAAGTTTTTGCTTTCTCCTGTAAAGTTACCATTTTAGAGATACTTGTTTTTTTTTGGACAGCGACACTATTTAAGATATTTAGCTTTGTGAAATCAATCCCCCTTAAAATATCAAACATGTTTATGATGCAATGACATTATACCAGATATGGTGAACAATACTGAATAAATAATGTAAGGTTTGTAGTATAGGCGTGGTTCACTGTGGAGTGCGGGTCAAAACACAAGGAAGAGAAAAGGGAGTGAAATTTTTTCATTTGCAGTCATAAAAGAGGTGCTCAGGCAGTGGTCAATATGAGGGCACTTTAATTGCTGAGGTATTTTACTTGCTTAAAATGAACAGTGAATATAAAATTGAACATGTGCCATGCATCACAGTAATGTCATACTTTTAGTCTTTCAACGGTTTTAGTTTCGAACCTCTAAAAGTAATGTAGCTGCTGTGTCTGTCGGCATGTTATTGTGCAGCAAACCTGGTATATGAGTAGACTAGTGAATGTTTTATGCCATTTCATCTGAGTTTAGATCATAGTGGGGGGGCATGATTCTCATCTGACTTTAGATTGTAGTCAGGGGCATGGATCTCATCTGATTTTAGATCGTAGTGGAGCACCGGTTGGCTGTAGTGTTAGCGTTAGGTTAGTAGCTAATCTGAAGCAGCCACTGCTACTCAAGCACAGTGACCAAAAGATTTCTCTTGGCTATTTTTGAATAATCACACGTTTTCATATGTACACCTCTGTGAGCTGCTATTTTTTTGTGCTACTGTTTTTAGCACCAGCGAACCACTTTGTTATGCTTGTGTATTACAATAGAGTAATATTAGGCAAAAAGCCATTTTTTAATCTCCACAGCCAACCAAATATCTGTCTTACAGGTACTTGAGAATATAAAAATGAGTCAGAATACCTAAGAATACCTAACAGCCATGTACTGATAACTGTACCTTAATGCATACACTTGATTAGGTAATCCACAGAACAGAAATGCAGATTGGAAAGGTTTGAGCATGCTGTTCTAAAGACTGAATTTCCCACTCAGAGGAGCAGAGGAGACGCTTTACACTCCCCCGACGGAGGCGCAGAAGGCTGAATACAGCCAACTCCTGAGCCGAATGAGGGAGGAGCCTTTGAGGGGCCTACAGGGGCCTGACTACGTCACAGGCTCCAGCTTGCCTAGCCACTCCGACGTACAAATCTCTTGCTTTACAGGCCTCAGGATACAGGCAAGCCACATATACACACAAATCTTTGTTTTTGAGGTCCAGTGGGAAGAATTCTCACAACCCTCATCTGGTAATCCGACTTTTCCCAGACTTCAGTTCAAATTCAAATCTCACATACCTGATCAAGATCTATTAATAAAGTGTGGAGAATTGAAATGAACTGAACTGAAGAACTGAAGTCTGCAGAATAATTCATCTCCAAAATCAGAGATTGTGGTTCTTCACTGTGAGACCATTGATATACACCCCAGTATCACACAAACACCCCACTGTACATAAGATTGGTAAAATGGTCAAGTTTCTTTATTTTTTTTTAAAAAATGGTGGATTAACAATGCTCTAAAATAATTCTGGCTTAGTGTGGATCTACACCCAGTTCTTTTACATTTCAAATACAGTAAAATAGACATGGATAAACCTTGGGCTCTATTGTAAACAGTAGGCCTGGTGGCATCATCTTTAGTTCAGCATCAGTTGCAGAGATTCAGCAAGTTTGAGCTTCCAGCGTAATGGAAAATTTAAAATGAGAAGCTAGTGTAGTTTTTTTTTATACTTTTTGTATATGTCTGTGTAGTGTATAGTGTATAAGAATTACAGTCAGTGCTGTCATAAAATGGAAATGAATTAAATGTATTTATTTAGTAGTTCACTGGATTGTGTGGATAAAAAAATGAAGTTTGAAATACAGAATGTTCAAATCCAGCCCTAGCATCTACAGCTGTCTCAAGAAAGCCTTGCCTTGATGCCATAGTCAGACGTACTGACATGCTTTCATTTGCTCTTATTTAAAGGGTCCAGTGTTCTTCCTGGAGGACGGCAAGTCATCCATTTCACTCAATGATGCCTTGATGTGGGCCAAGGTGAACCCTTTCTCTCCGCTGGGGACAGGTATACGCATCAACCCCTTCTAAGCACACAGGCAACCACTTACGCACATACACACTCATGCTCACACACACACACAAATAAGAAGAGTGCAAACAGTATTCAGTCCAGTCAAGGACAAGGACATCAGCATTTAACATAGAGGCTTTGGACCTCTATTCTCTGAGAGAAAATGGACATCTGTGGAGAATAGAGGAGTGATATAAACTGTGATTCAGATAATGCTTTCTGAGGTTTTTCCATTGAATTACGTGCATTTTTTGGTGTGTGTATGCACTTACCACTATTTTAACTTCACCATTGATCCAAACGGAACCAGATGCCACTAGAAGTTTTTCGGGTGGACCTGATGTTGGAGTTGGTTTTTGCTTTCTTTGTTTTTTTTTTCTCAGAAGGCACATAAAGCTCATGGAGAGGATCTGAATGTGATTTTTTTTTCTTTCATGGTTGAAATGGGAGGGGTTTTTCTGCATGTGTGCTCGCTTGCTGCTTGGAGTAGATTTTTTGCTTTGTGTGGATTTAGATGAAGAATCTTTGCTTTAGCCATCAGCCAGCTTGGCTGTGGGTGTCTGTTCTGTGACGAGCCGTAGACACGCACTTTTTGTTTCAGTAGAACCACAAAACAAGCTTCAATATGTTGAAGGTTTCAGACAGCACACCGTTCTTATGATTTAAGAATGCTGCTTTTTATTCAGGGACTTTTATTTTAGGGTTATTTAGGAGTAGGCCTGGGTTAACTTCAAGGTATGAAATATGTCTGTATAACTTATTGTTTGTTGTATAGCTTATTATTATTATTATTATTCATATTATTTACTGAATGTGGTCGTTATTCAATTACAATCAAAACCTGTATCATACAATCGATGAGAACTTGGGCAATATGTTAAGATGCTGTAACTCAAAGAAAGATCTCACATCTAGGAAAAGTGACAATTGTAGTTTTGCTGATAGTCAGGTGTCTAGAGCGTGTGCCTTAAATTAGGAAACGAAACAAAACTGAACAATAACATCCGTATTAGCTTGGGTGGTACCTTAGACATGAATATCAGACATTTGTCTGATAGTGTAGCGTAATATAAATTGTTTAAAAAAATGTATGTAATGTCCTGCGTGGGAAGGGAACAACTCAAATTATTTGATATTGGTCCTATTGGTTGGGATTGGTACTATGTTCATCAAAATGCACTGTGAACTGTATTTATTTATCTATTTATTTGTATATTTCTGTTCTGTAATTTACATGTAATTCCACAGCTAAACAGGGTGTAGCTTACATTGTCCTCTGTCCATTAGCCACATACAGTAGTAGGAGCAGAAGATACAAATGTTTTCTCATTTTAACAATCTATTTATTTTTTATAATGACGTTATCTGTAAAATGTAAGAAAAGGAATGAATGAGGAAAAGAAAGTGCTTTTAGAATTGTGCTTGCCAGAAGTATGACAAAAAAAGCCAGCCGGCATTGGTTTGTGATCATAATTCAATGATTCTTATTAAAAATGATCTAGCAAACAGATTCTCCTACTCTTTCCACTGGTCTGACTTTTATTTCAGTGTGTTCTGAACAGTCATTAAGTTTTTCTCTCTGGCTATTCTTCACTTAAAAACCAGTCAAACAATTAGCAAATGGATTGTGAAGATTGCTTTGTTTGCCAAGTTGTTCCAAGTTGAATATCCTAAAACACTTTGGATCTACTGAAAAGAAAAGGACAACACAAACATAGATCAATACATATACAGTCACCATTCACTTTATTAAATATCCCTTGTACTTCCACACACTAGCTCCACCTGCTTTATAGGTCCACTATATAGGTATACAATTACAGTTAGTAGCCCCTCTGTTGCTGCACATGGTCAGTCTTGCACCCTCTACACTACAGGCGTCCAGTCTTATCCACAAAAGGACGGTGTGCCTGCAGGCTTTTTTAATTCCAACCATTCAAAACACCTTATATAACTATCAGTTGTTTGAAGACTCAGACCAACTATTTAAGCGTGCTTCTGCTTGATTAGAATTAAAACCTTAATCAAATGGTTTGGTAAAAAGTCATTTTTCCACAATTTCCCATTTGTAGTCGATCTGCCAAAGTGTCCAAATCTTGTTTCTTTATTTTAGCACTGAAGCTACGTCGCTAACAATGCCAACAGACCGTAGAGGTCAACAGTTACATATTATTTTCCTGTCTACATTCCCAAAATGTCTCTAAAACCACATCCAGATTTTTTATTATTTATTTATTTATTTACTTAATAAATTTATTAAGGTTGCACAAACTTGCAGATGTGATTTAGGACACAGTGTGACTTACTATGAACTATAAAAATGCATAAAACATAATTTTAGACAATGGTGTTACGTGATTTTCAACTCCCTGAAGGAGTTCACTTCACTTCATGTGCCTGCTTCTGACCACACAACCACCGTTGATCAGATATTATTGGGGTGGTTAACTGTTCTCAATATAGCAGTGAGTGGTCCACCACCCAGAAATATGCAGTCAGGAGCAGCTTTATAGTCATAAACTGATCATCAACAAAGAGCAAGATAGGGGGATTCAGACAGGGTTCCTCCAAGGCCACAGGTCTGCAGAGATTAGCATTTTCCCTCTTCTAACAGAATGAATTTAACTTATAAAGGCCTTGCATTAGTTGATAAGTTTTTAAAGTTGAATAAGGTGTGTGTGAGAGGAAGTCTATAGAGCTCTGGCCCTAAAGTAGCCCAGTTTGACACCCCTGGGCTAGAAATATTACATCAGTGTTTGGACTACAGTCTCTGTACAACAGCAAGGTGAAGCTACATTAGCAGAGTTTTAATGAGTGTGTAAACAAAATCAATTTTACTATCCAATGTTTTTTTAATTGTTGGTAGCAAATAATTTAATAATTTAAATAAAAAGCAGGGAGATCATGAAAGTTTCCCACATGACCTTTCTTTATTTCCATAGATATTTTTAGCATGCTATGTTTTTGCAAAATACTGTACAGTTGTGAGTATGCTACACTAGCTCAGCAGATTGAACGTATCACATTTTTACAGAGAAAACAGGACAGTGAAAGATGTGAAAACATTTACTTTCTGTCTGAAGTCTGCCTTCTGTAGTCTTGCACTGGAGCTATGCTGGTGTAGCTAACAAGCAATGGACGCTTATGTGCAAACTGCATGCCTAAAGCATTACGTACTTACCTTGTTTGACTTTCTTGTCTTAATTATATGGTTTGTGACAATATATGACATGCTGTCTGTATAATAAAAATTCTAAATTACATGGCATATCTAAATTAGTAGTATCCAAACCTGAAGTATGAATTTTGTTGTTACTTGTATCCAGCTGCACATAAAGTACGTCAATCAAAATAAAACAATGTCAACAAAAACAAATATTGTAATAAATAATATTTTATGGTTTATACGGTATGTGCTATACTTGAAAAAAAATATATTTTGTTTACCAGAAAAAAAAATCCTAGCAAAGGACATTCAATTATCCAAGATAGTAACACTATTTATGTGTTGAGTTGTAGTGTTAGTTGTTTTAATATTTCTCAGCCTGGTCTTCACCTTGATTTGTATTTGTACCCAAAGTGTCCATGGCAGGAAACCAAGGAGAAAGCCACTGCTCTCTTACACTCTTAAAAAAGATAGTACTTTAAGGGTTATTTAGTAAAGAAATGGTTGTATATAGAACCATGAACACTCAAAGAACCCTTTGTATGATTAAAGGGTTCTTCAGACTGATGGAGAATGTGCTGTAGATTGTTGCATACAGAATCTTTTTGAAAAGGGTTCTCTACAGCACCCCACAGGGTTGTTACAAGCTTGACATTGTCACAATAGAAGAACACTTTTGAGTGCTGTATAGAATAAGGTTCTGTATATAACCATCTACAGCACATTCTCCATCAGTCTGATGAAACCTTCAATGATGCAAGGAACACATTAATCATTCAAAGGGTTCGCTGACTGTTCATGGCTCTTTATAGAACCATTTTCTTCACTAAACACACTAAAGTGTAAGAAAACATCACCACGTGCCTTAAGTTTTCCAAAGAGTAATTTGACACTCCAATGGGAAAATGTTTTGTGGACTGAAGAAACTACGGTTGAATTGTTCTGGAACAACACACAGCACTACGTGTAGTGTAAAAAGGACACTGCATACCAACACGAAAATATCATCCCAATAGTGAAATATGGTGGCAGGAACGTCATGATTTGGGGCTGCTTTGCTGCCTCTAGTCCTGGATCGACTGCCATCATCAAAAATGAATTAAGTTTATCAAGGTATCCTACAAGATGCTCAGGGTGACTGTCCACTCTGACATAAGTATTAGTAGAAGCTGGGCGATGCTGCAGGACAATGATCTTAAACATCGATGTAAATCTACTACAGAATGGCTTCAATGGTTCTGGAGTGGCCAGATCAGAGCTGAGACCTTACCCCAGCAGAGTTGCTGCGCAATGATCTCAAGAGAGCCGTTCACACTAGACATCCGAAGAATATGACTGAGCTGAAACAGTTCTGTAAAAAAAGAATAGTCCAGTATTCCTCTCGAACGTTGTGTAGATCTGATCGCAACTATCAGAGGCGCTTGCTTGAGGTTACTGCAGCCAAAGGAGGTTCTACCAGTTATTAAATCCAAGGGTTCACTTACTTTTACAATAGCACTATGAATGTTTAATTAGTGTGCACAATAAAGAAATAAAGGATTATCTTTTTTTTGTCATTAGCTTTAGCTAATGTTTGTCTATACTTGTGACTTATACTTGTGACAGATCACCTTTTATGACCAATTAATGCAGAAAACTGAGTTTACTCACTTTTTCTGGCCACTGTATATTATAGTCTCCAGAGGACCCTGAAGTGCACCCCACAATAATTTAACTGCAAAAAGTAGCAGAGCTGTAGAGCTACATCACATATCATTATGTCAAAATCAGTGCTCACAGAAGTCATTGAGTATCAAGCTTGATAATTTCACATTTTCTGCATAATTAAGTCATTGAGATGTACAACCCCAATTCCAAAAAAGTTGGGACGCTGTGTAAAATGTAAATAACTGTAAATGAAAACAGAATGCAATGATTTGCAAAATCTCATAGACCCATATTTTATTCAGAATAGAACATAGAACACATATCAGATGTTGAAAGTGAGACATTTTACCATTTCATGAAAAGCATTAACTCATTTATAATTTGATGGCAGCAACGCATCTCAAAAAAGCTGGGACGGGGCAACAAAATGCTGGAAAAGTAAGTAATACAAATAAAACAGCTGGAGGAGCAATTTGCAACTAACTCACATGACTGGGAATAAAAAGAGCATTTTAGCGTCTCTCAGAAGCAAAGATAGGCAGAGGTTTACCAATCTGTGAAAAATTGCATCTAAAAATTGTGGAACAATTTCAGAAAAATGTTCCTCAACGTAAAATTGCGAAGACTTTGCATATCCCACCATCTACAGTACATAATATCATCAAAAGTTTCAGAGGATCTGGAGAAATCCCTGTATGCAAGGGACAAAGCCGATGGTCAGTATTGGATGCTCATGATCTTCGGGCCCTCAGGCAGCACTGCATTAAAAACTGGCATGATTCTGTACTAGAAATTACTGCTTGGGCTCAGAAACTCAGGAAAACTGTTCTGTGGTCAGATGAATAAAAATCTTTTTTGGAAATCACGGACACCATGTCCTGCGGACTCAATGGGAGAGGGACCATCCAGCTTGTTATCAGTGCACAGTTCAAAAGCCTGCATCTCTACTGGTATGGGGTTGCATTAGTGCCTATGGTGTAGGCAGCTTACACATCTGGAAGGGCACTATCAATGCAGAACAGTATATAAAGGTTTTAGAACAACATATGCTCCCATCCAGACGTCTCTTTCAGGGAAGGCCTTGCATATTTCAGCAAGATAATGCTAAACCACATACTGCGTACATCACAACAGCATGGCTTTGCAGAAGAAGAGTCTGGATGCTGAAGTGGCCTGCCTACAGTCCAGACCTTTCACCAATAGAAAACATTTGGCACATCATGAAACAAAAAGTCTGGCAAAGAAGACCCAGAATCCTACATCAGACAAGAATGGGACAACATTCTTCTCCCAAAACTCCAGCAAATGGCCTCTTCACTTCCCAGGCATTTAGAGACTGTTGTTAAAAGAAGAAATGAAATGGTAAAATGTCTCACTTTCAATATCTGATATGTGTTCTATGTTCTACTGTGAATAAAACGTGAGTCTATGAGATTTGTAAATCATTGCATTCTGCTTTCATTTACATTTATTAAAATTTTACACAGCATCCCAACTTTTTTGGAATTGTGGTTGTAAACAGTCATTCAGAGTGGTTTAATGTGAAATGGTGCACATCAGTGAAACTGACTCGGATTTCTTTACAGTGGTGGTAATAGGAAGCAGGGCTCACCATGTCTGCAAAACAAATACAACTATTTTATTTACTATCCAAATAAGCAGTGAACCTACACACATTTTTATATGTAATGTTAAAACAAGTTGTAAATCTATAAAAATAAGTTTTCTTTGTGCCTTACCACACTTCATAGCGTAATAGCTTTTTCTGGTGTATCTTTTAGAGACATTAAAAGTTTTTACTTTTCCCTGGAATGATGCAATTCATATCAACCAACTCTGAATGGCTTTGTTTATGTCTTAGCCATTTAATTATGCAGATTTTTTTAAAACATTGGAATTCCCTTTTAACTACTTTTTTGAGGTTTTGGGGTCTACAGGACCTCAAAGATCACACAAGGGTTTGAGGTGCTGAACATGCTTAAGGTGAGTGTGTGGTGGTTTAGACACACAGTTTGTACAATCCTAACTGGTGTACATAAGCTTCCATTATTTGTTAGCTACATTAGCCTCATAGCTCCAGTGCAACAGTAAAAACAAACTTCAGGCACCAAACATGTCTTGGCTGATCAACTACATTTGTGTAAGGGGTATTTTTTTTTTTACTTTTGGGTGGACCACTGGGTTAATTAACAGTGTCAACAAAAGATCAGAAAACTGAATGACAAGGCTTCCACATAGATGTTCTGACATTTCTGATTCTGTCTTTAAGTCAGATACTATAAAAACTGGCTGAATCATTTAATATGCTGCATATGTAGGTACTTTTGATTCACATCTTAAGGTTCACACAGTGACACAGATGTTCATTTTGGACATTGCTAGTTTCCCTTAACTGGTACTGATGTTTGCTGAGGATGTTGCACACAAAAATATATTTGTTAGAAACTCCATATTTGAAATAACTGCAAGTGAAGGAACTCACACCTAAACAAATATTGTTGTGCATTGGAGGTTACAAAGAAAATGTAATAAATGCACTTGAGAGAAGATAAAAACTGAGAGAAAAGACAGAGAAGGAGCACAAGAGAGACGAAGAGAAACACATAGAGAGATAGAGCAGAGCTCTATCTGTACTGTAGAAATCTGTGGAGCAGGGTAGGAAGTTTGAGCTGGGGGATGAGGTGAAGTCTGGTCCGTCCCAAATACTCCCTGATACTCAACCTACACAACTGGCTCAGAGCAGGAGGCGTAGCTGCAGACACAGAAAGGAAATTTGGTTTTAACCAATCTAAACTACATTCTTAAAAAAAGTGTCACAAAGCGTTCTTTGAGGGCAGGGGTCTTTAACTGGCGGACCGTGGTCAGGACGCAGACACAGCAAAGTGTTTTAGTGGACCAAACCAAGCACTTGAAAAATCTCTGCAACAAAGCCAATTAATGTATGAAAAAAATGGTCCCTGTGAAACAACTTTGCAGTAACCTAGGAATTTGTTGTACATTCCCTGACAGCGATCTTATTATCTTCTATTTTAATTTTTTTTTTTAATTTTACCTTATGAAAAGATAGAATAAAGATACGTTTTTAGAGGTACTTTGTCAAAACATTTTCCACGTTTTCTAACAAACAATAGCCAATGGCCAAACAATGTTAAAATGCTCATTAGATTATAAAAATGTTATCAATAAAAAATAAAACTATTTATCAAAATATATTTGATGCATCTTATTTTATTTTACTAGTGGCCTAGACTAATCAATCATTTAGTTTGTTTATCCGGACCTTGACAAGCAAGAATTTGATGTAACTGGACCTTTGCAAGGTTATTTAAATGCCCCTGCCACAGAAGAGCCATTTTAGTTCTCTACAGAACCATGTTTGCAAATGAGTATTAAGAACTTTTTAAAAGTATAAAGAACCTTCACATAATGTAATTACATTTTTTTTCATCATTGTTTCATTTAAAATATGTTTTTTTATAGAACCGTCCTGTAGTTCTTTAGGCAACTATAAATGGTTCTTCTATGGAGTAACGCAAAGACCCCGGCACCCCTGGCACCATTATTTGTTAGAGTGTATTACACTTTTCATGCATGTTTAGTTGGAAAGTGCACAATAACAAAGACTTTATTTCTGGAGCCACTGTCTGACAACACCAAACGCTCCTAGGTCCCCCATGGCATTTAGACCTGAAGATGACACCCATATAAAGAACTCTACATCTAAACCTTTTTTCTCCATGGGAAAAATGAATGACATTTTCAAAAACTGCTTCTATCATGCTCTCAAAAATGTTCCAAAATCAGTAAGTTTTGAGAGACATACATTTGCCTTTAAAATATTACTGGATTCTCCTAATTACAAGTTACTGCAGGGTACAAAATTTTTTAAAAGTGCAGATGTTAAACTTTTATCTGTACCACATTTGTCTTTGTAAGTAGAGGAGGAGCTTTCTGTGATTTAAATTTGTTTAATTCTTAGAGTTTTGTTTTACAGAAAGAAAAAAATATTTGTTACGTTTCCCATGTTTTTATCATTTTTGACATGAATGCACATGGAAAAATGTCACAAATGCAAACTGTAACCTGTTCATGCAATACAAATTGATTGTACACTGATCGGCCACTTTAAGTACACCTCCTTGTATCTACAATCTTTGTCCATTTTATCAGCTACACTTAACATACAGATGCACTTTATAATTCCACAATGACAGACTGTAGTCCATCTGTTTCTCTGCATACCTCAATAGCCACATTTCACCCTGCTGTTCAATGATCAGGACCCCCACAGGACTGCCGCAAAGCAGGTATTATTTGGGTAAGGAAATCATTCTCAGCACTGCAGTAACACTGACGTAGTGGTGGAGCTGATATGAGTAAATCAGACACAGCAGTGCTGCTGAAGTTTTTAAACACTGTGTCCACTTACTGTCCACTCTATTAGACACACTTACCTTGTTGGTCCTGCTTGTAGATGTGAAGTCAGAGACGAAAGCTTTCGCTGCACAGTTTGTGTTGGTCATCCTATAATATTTCATAAGTGGTCACAGGGTACTGCCCACAGGACGCTGTTGGCTGGACATTTTGGGTCAGTAGATTATTCTCAGTCCAGCGGTGACACTGAGATGTTTAAAAACTTAGCAGCACTGCTGTGTCTGATTCACTCGTACCAGCACAATACACAATAACATGCCACCACCACGTCAGTGTCACTACAGACCTGAGAATGATCCACCACCCAAATAACAACTGCTCTGTTGTGATCCTGTGGGGGTCCTAATCAATAAAGATGAGGGTGAAAGGGGGCTAACAAAGTATGTAGAGAAACAGTTGGACTACAGTCTGTAACTGAAGAACTACAAAGTGCACCTATATGGTAAGTGGAGCTGATGAAATGGAAAAAAAATGTAGAAACAAGTAAGTAAACTTAATGAAGTGGCCAGTCAGTGTGAACGAACCTAATTACATAATAACTTTCTGTATTAACTCCTTAAAATCCCAGGCTTATCCCAGGGGGGTGTCCATGGGTGGAGCGGGGTTGGGTGGTTGTGGTACCACATCACCTTTTATCTGTATGACTATGAATAAACAATGAGTTGTGACAATAATGAATTAATAATGAAATAATTAATTAGTAACAATTAATATAATTAATTAAATGAAAAAAAAAATGAATGTACCCATAAAAGGGGGGGTTGTGGTGTGTCCAAGGAACACTGGCCTGAGGACTGGCCTGAGAAAAAAATAAAAAATAAAACAAAACTCCATACCTTCATATAGCAGAAGGATGCCCTCTGCCATGCTGCTAGGAGGCGCTGTCTCCACAGGTCTTTGCAGCTCCAGGTTGCGAGCATTTATGTTGGCACCAAATTCCAGCAGCACTTTAATGATATCTGGGCAGTCTTTCTCTGCAGCTGCATGTAGGGGAGTGTCCAGGAACCGGCCCTTTTGCACATTGGCACCTGGGAAATGGAGTTAAGCCAATAATGCTAATAAAGTATTATAGGATTGAAATGCACAGTTCCGCTTTGTCTTTTCCAATACAGCTACCAATATCGAAACTTTGAGTATCCAAAAACACAACTGAATGCATTTGGCAGATTTTGTTGTGCTAACCACAATACTATTTTGTGTTTCAGTTAACAAGTTTATCCTATAATGTTATAATTAATATCTAGTGCATAATGAGGTTTTATGCTGAGAAAAAGTTATACTAAGTGTTGCATCTTGTTTATTTACCCATGAATTAAGGACAAGTAACTTTCTAGCCTCTGCTGCTCAGTGTGCACAAATGATACGTTGAAATTACAAGAGAAGTGATGTTGATGTAAAAACTTTTGAGAGTATAGAGATAAGACATAAATGATAAGCTAGGGGGCTACATGGAATGAAAAATTAATGCTATTAACTGTTAATAACCACCCAGTCCTCACCTGGCATTATCATACGCCTTGGCTAATCCAATTATAAGTGGACAGTGTAAACAGTGTCTAATAAGTCTCAAGGGCACATTACCATCCTTCGGAGAAGGCCAGGGATGCATATGACCACATTACATTTGTAGTGTTAATACTGAGGTTCCCCCATGCATCCCCGGCAGCAACAAAGGACCACCTTAATCAACTGGGTCATTACAACGGAGACAAAAGCAGCTGCATAGCTTCTTGCATTGTCTCCTCTCCCACTTCTTAGTTGTGTTAGCAGTCCATGCGACTGAAACGTTTGTAAAAGCCCATGTAGGCACACGAACAAGGATTTGCAGCACACTTTGTCTGAGATTAGCATAGTAAATGCGCATGGTTACCTTTCTCATGTCACAAAATCTGATCATCAAATGTCATTGGACACACATTCGAGGCACATAGAAATGCCAGGTGTAAATGGCTATTTGTCTTACCATCAACTTGTGATCAGATGACTCAAGACAGGCATGAATACCAGGCAGAACAAGGTGAGTGATTTCAATTCAATGTTTCTGTTCTGGAATATCTGATGATTACATTTTTAGTTGCATTTTTGTTCCTAGCAAAATACCATTAATTTTCTATTTTCATTTTTCAAATCTAAAATATAGGTTCGGCTCCCTGCCTTGTACATCTACGCATGACAGCCTTTTAACACGACTAACTGATCACTATTTACAATCGTATGCAAATGTTTGAACACCCTCAACAAATGATGTTTTGTTGATTTTCTAAATGAAAATAAGTTAACACATCCTCACATTGAAAAACAATGAGATGAATGAATATTTAACTAGAGGGTAGTGTAGAACTTGCATGTTATGTTTTTGTCAGAGTTTTTTGTCTGTTTAACCCTAAGAAGGAAATACAGACAGACTACTGCAGCCAGCTAAAGGCTTCCACATATCAGATGAGGAGCTCGATACCTTACCGCCAGAGTGTCTCTGGCATCGGGTAGTAGATAGTACAAAGCATGTGTGCATCTCTGCTCACCTCCATCTAGAAGTTTCTGTGTGCACTGTAGCTCCCGCGAGCTGCAGGCGATGTAAAGTGGAGTTCCTAGGTGAGGAATATCATAATCTACGTCCGCCCCCCATGCTATGAGAGCTTCGACACATGCTGTTTTTCCTGAGAACAGAGGAATACACTCAGCATTATGCATTAGACCTGTCATTCAACTTTTAAACCATTCACTAATGCATCACTTCAGCTTTGCTTGTGATATTTCTGTCCATAAAGATTTAAAGCTATAGGAAGACTACATCGCTGTTCCCTGTGGTGCAACTGTCTTCACTGCTGGGCAACATCATGATTCCACAGATGATCACAAAGTGGGTAGTCAGTAATTCCAAACATTTCACAGATACTTTTCAGAGAATTTTCAAGCCAATTTTAAATGATAACAAATTGATTACAAAAAGAGATGAAGCCAAACAAATTTTAGTTCCTCTGTTGATATGTTAGATGTCCCACTGCAGTTCTATAACTCACAGTTCTCATAACTGTAACTTCTAGCCTGCAGAACATTCAAACAGCGCATTTAAGTTGACAAAACCTTTCTGCTGAAAAAATACGGCAAACGTCATCCACAGCTGACAAATCAATATCAAGGATACCCTCTTTAGTCACTCAACCAATGTGGGAGAAATGTTAGTTTTGACTCTTTTTTTTATTTTATTTGCGTTTTGTTAAAGAAATATTATCTACTTTTTCTATTATTATATGTCAGTTTTGAAACATTTATCTATTGTCTTTCACATTCTTTCAACTTGCTGTCATGTGTTTATCTACTACTCAATCAAATGTGTTAACCCCCTGCCCCTAAGTAGTGCGTCCCACTTCTTTTTAAGCATGAGACATGGCTTGAATGCCCCCTCAGGGTGTTTTTTGGACCTTATATATATTTTTGACTCTACTTGAGTACAGTAAAATTCATTTTTACTTTAGTATTTGTTCATAACTCATATCATACCCATAGGAGTAAAAGGCCTTCCAATAAAAAGAAAACAAAACAAAAGAAGAAGGTGTGTACTGTTTTAACCCCAGGGAAGTGGTCTTTGCATCCAGTATTAGAAATGACAAACTCACCTTTGCTGCTAGCCTCGTGGATGGGCGAAGGTTGGCACAGTTCAGGCTGTGGGTTGGCACCATGCTCCAGAAGCACTTCCGCACATGTGGCACTGCCTGCAGAACAGGCGTTAAACAGAGGGGTCACCCCATCTATGGTGGTGGCGTTCACCTAGTACATACATAAATACACATAACACTGCCTCAGTACAATATAGGACACCATCCTGAGCTTTCCATACTTGAAAGTACCACTTGGAGCTGTATATTTCATTATCATATGGCACTAAAAGCACACACTGTGCTTACATAAGATAGAAAAGCTTTTAAACAGGGCAAGAAAACTCTGAGCACATATGTCTAAGTTAAATACATACAGTCACTGGTAAGCTCACCAAATAGCTGTTATCTGATTGGCTCAGGGACTTACATTGGCTCCGGCTTCAATGAGGGCTCTGGCACAGGCCACATGATCCCCTAGACATGCCTCATGCAGTGGGGTCACATGATCGATGGTAATGATATTTGCATTGTAACCCTAATGGAAGAAAAAAATGACAAGGTTATTTTGAAGAGTTATATAAGAGAACAGGGCTACATAAATGAAAAAATATAACTGTCTGCACTGCGCATGTATGTATTAAAAGGGGAATATATTGTCTCTGTCATATCAAAACTGCTTATCCTCTTGATATTTCATTCAAAATATTAACGTAAGTTCAACCTTTATCCGTGGTACAACGATTGAAAAAAATAAAACCTAAATTTTATCAGGAAATAAATATTTTTTCAAATCTGTGTGTGCCACAATTGTTGGCACCTCTTCATCAGGGTTGGGACAGCTACTGAAAAATTAGTAGCTAGCTACTTTGTAGCTCCTTTCCCAAAATTTGTAGCTAGCTACAATTTAGCTACTTTTCCAGAACAACTAGTGGCCACTTTTTAGCTACGTTTTGAAAAGTAGTGCACTACTTTTTAGCTACTTTCAAAGCATGATTGTCAAAATGTTTGTGTATCTCCACCCGACACACCAAACAAGCTCAACTGAAAGTGTGAACAAGATACTGCATTTAATCATGTGTCAGAAAGAAACATACAATTGAAAAGCTGCAAATATACAAAAATATCACCAAAAAGTAAGTTTAAGTGTAACCAACAATCAAACTTATACAACCAAAAGGTGTGATATCCAACAAAAGACTAAAGTCAAAGTCAATCATTCCAGGTTTTTCCTAACAAAAATCAACAAAAATATCAACAAACAAACCAACAAACCAAACAACTTTGTGCAAAGAACTGTCAACTGAAATAAAACTGCTCCAATTTAAACATATCAGCAAGATGTGTACAGACATGACATTCAGAGTCCTTTGTTAAACTTCAGCAACACTTTAGCCTCACAATTCTCATCAGTGACCCTGGTTCTGTTTGGGGTCAGAATCAGGCATGCGCAGCTTAATAATCTCTCCACTGCTGCAGAGCTGTTGCGGCTCCACAGCAGAACTAGATTTTTAGGTAAAAAATATAAATTTTTATAATATAATTATTTGCTGTAAAATCATTATAACACACTCAGTTCACACCATTTATTGTTTTCACAATAAATGGTCCTAAACGCTGGAGTTAACGCATAACTGCTAATTCACCAACCTTTAACGCTAAATATTGACGCGCAGACTGCTGGTCACACAGCAACGCAGATAACTAGCTAGTAGCTAACAAAACGACAAAGAGAAAGATGTAAGACGAACATCGATAATCTGGAGATGAACGGACTTATCTGCATTTAAAAGCACTCCAGCTGGTTATATGTTTAATCTGCAACGAGAAACTGTCAAACACTAAGTCGCAAGCTGAAGTCAGCTTCTCTTTCTCTAGCTTCTCGTGCAGCAGTACATTCTGGCGCCTCAGGCACCATTTAATGTAGACGAACGCTGAGAGACATTTTACAAGAAACTCTTTCGAAGAAAAGTTTCCTGACTGAGATGTGAGAAAAGCGGCTACAGCTGACCTAAAGGTTAAAGCAGTGCAAAGTAAGTCTGCATTTTCATTTATATTATATTTTTAGCCTGTACTAGTACATTAGCACATACTCAGACATATTTACAGCCATGATGGTAAAATGGACATTAAATGTTGTGGCTCCCAAGGTGGTTTCATTTTTGTTGAAAGGACAAAATGGCTCTTCTTAACTTTGGGTTGCCGACCACTGAGCTAAGCCTACTAGTAAGGGGTGATCAGCGTGTGGTCATTTGCTCGAACTGTCTGTGGCTAAGTCAGGATTACACAATCGCCACTAGCCCAGTTAACGACTGCATTCTATGGTTCTAATTTTGCACGGATTGCCTGAAGCACAACTGTAGCGCAACTGTAACGAAATTGCTACAGCTACACAAAATTTTTAGGCGCTACAGCTATTAGCTACATTTCATAAAACTGTAGCAGCTACAGCTATTAGCTACAAAAAATTGTAGTTAGTTACAAAAAGTAGCGTGCTACTCAGCTACTCCCCCCATCCCTGCTGTTCATTAAATACTTTGTGCAGCCTCCGTTTGCAAAGACAACAGCTGTGATTCTTCTCCTAAAATGCTTAATGAGACTGGAGAACACATGGCGAGTAACCTGAGACCATTCCTGCATACACAACCTCTCCAAATCCTTCAGATTCCCAGCTACACAAAGTGGACTCTCCTTTTTAGTTCTTCCCACAGATTTTCTAAGAGATTTAGGTCAGGGGACTGCGGTGGCCATGGCAAAACCTTAATTTTGTGGCCAGTGAACCATTTTGGGGCCAATGTTGAGGTGTGCTTCGGATCATTACACTAGATCCAAACTATGGGCATGTTTTAGCTTACTGGGTGAAACAGTCAAGGTTTTCTCATTTTATTTCTGCTGGTGCTTGATGCAGTTTGCGATGCCATGTATCCAAATAAATTGTCCAGGCTCTTTGGAAGAAAACTGCCCCACAACATCACAGATCCACCACCTACTTCACAGTGGGGATGAGGTACTTTTCTGCATGACTATCTTTGTGTCTACACCAGCCTCAGGTGTTTGTTGCCAATAACTCTATTTTGGTCTCATCTGACCATAGAACATGGTCACACTAAAAGTTCAAGTACTGTTTGGCAGGAGCTTGAGTTTGTTGGTCTATGACAGCAGAGGCTTTCTTCTGGCAACCCCCAAACAACTTATGGTTATATAGGTGGTGTCTGATTATAGTTTGAGGGGATGCTGTGACCCCAAGACCTAACTAATGTCTCAAATTCCCTATCTGTGATCCTTGGAGATTCTTTGTCCACTGTAACCATCCTCCTCACTGTGCTAAGCATATAAACGTATAAACATATATGCATAAACACATATGTAAAAACCTACAACCTCTTCCTGGGAGATTCTTAACATCTCCAGTGGTTTTAAGCTTTCTAATTATTGATCTGATAGCGGTAACAGGCATTTTCAACTGCTATCTTCTTGTAGCCATTTCCTGATTTTTGCAGATAACCAACCTTCTGTCACACATCATTGCTGTATTCACTGGTCTTTCTCATCCTGATGGATGACTGAGGGAATTTGGCTTGTGTTTCATCTCATGTATATTCCCCAGTGAAAATGGAAATCTGGCTGACCATTTAAGTTTTCATTATTGCTCAGGTGAACTTAAAAACATAAAATATAAATGGAAATATATTTCAGTTAGTGTCACACTTACATTTAAGAAAACTATTTTTTATGACATGATTTAATTTGTTCTTTCAATCTTTATACTTGAATTAAATGGTTAGGTCTTGCCAATATTTTCATTGAAAGATCGAAAGGATAAGTAATTGAGAATATTTTTACAGCTCATTTTGCTAATGATTACCAGGGGTTCCAATATTTGTGGAGGGCACTATATGTATGTTTCTGTGTCTGTTCAGTGTGTACACACCTGGGAGAGAAGGGTCTTTAGGGCCAGAAGGCGCCCCTGGCTTGCAGCTTCATGGAGTGGAGATCGATCTGCCCATGAGCCTGTACCACACACAGAGAAACATAGCAATATAACATTAAATGTAAGACAGTATGCTTAAAAATAGCTTTATCACTATGAGTAATAGACCCTGCGATGGACTACGTTAGCACTCTTTTAATCTATTTTTCATCCATTTTTTTATCACAATTATAATTTGTAGTTAGAAAGCAATGGTATCCGCATGTCTGCCGGTTACACCATATTAATGATGATAATGAATGTATTTGACATTTCTGCATCTGCTGACAGAGTGTGCTGCGTGTGTTTTTGCGTTTTTAGTGCAGGTCCTGACACTACTTATTACCATCTGTTGAGTGGAGAGCTAGAGAGAGGTGTTAGCGAAGAGGGCCTGTCACCCATTACAATTCAGAGCAATCCGTCTGGAGATTTATATGATCTAATTCACACTGACTCATTTAAACACATTTTTGGTAGAGCCCAGATTAAAGGCAACAAGAAAAAATCTGTTCCATATATTGGCCTTGGAAGGCATCTCGTGTGGGCTGTGTGTAACAATGTAAAAGCTAACAATACATTTCCTGAGAAACTGACATTTATTGACTTGTGGCTAAATGTGAGAAACTTTCCTTCAGGCACAACAACACAGTGACTGATAGGGACAAACAGATATAATTTTACATTTTTCATGTATATAATTCAAAGCCTGAAAAGAAATTGATAACATGAGAATCTATGAAGATCTAAAAACACCAGCCGCCTTTTGAAAGAATACTTTGCCACAATTAGTCTTAGAATGGTCTGTTTAAAATAAATGCCTCTTGGTTTGACGTTTTATTTCCTAACAAATTTGGGGGCAGTCGTGGGCTGGAGGTTAGGGAACCAGCCTTGTGACCGGAAGGTTGCCGGCTCAATCCCCTGAACTGACAGGACATGACCGAAGTGCCCTTGAGCAAGGCACCTAAACCCCAACTGCTCCCTGGGAGATGTGGATAGGGCTGCCCACCGCTCTGGGCAAATATGCTCACTGCCCCCTAGTGTGTGTGCTTTCTCTAGTATGTACGTGGTGTTTCACTGCACAGATGGGTTAAATGTGGAGGTGAATTTGCCCATTATGGGATTAATAAAGGGTACTTAAATATGTTTTTTTGGCCAGTGTATGTAAATGACCATGGTTCTAACTGGCTGCCCTGTATTGTGCCTTATTCAAAAAGCATTCTAGGATGAAACCTACAGTAACAACACTCCTTATAACTTCAACATGAATTGGCAGCTCCACTGCTGTAGGGTGAAAGGGGAATCATGTGTAAATGTGTTCACGGTTATGACATCACAACTATGGCTAGGTATTAGTCTAATTCATTTATGGTACCAACCACAGTATCAAGAAAATTCCATGACATTTAATATCTAATTTCAATACCTCTGTAAATTAACAATGCCAAGTCATTAGTACAACTATTATTAACTGAAAATGGGCTAATTTTGCAGCTTTGTTTCCATTTACGTCTGTGGTCTATGACTGTATTGACAGGAGAGTGAATGGAACACTATTTACATAATACAACAAACTCAACAAAACTGCAGCTACCCACCTCACCCACACTTAAGCATACAAACACAATCACTGTTCCACACAAATCATGTACATAAATCATCTACTATATTACTCTCCCATTAACAAAGGATATATTGTTAACAACCCAGCCACACAATGTAAAACATTCAACATCAACCTTACATTAGACAGGCTATAACACAGTTTTTATTTGTATCCTCTAAGGGGAGCTATATGCTATATTTAGCAGCCATCTGGCTCTGGTCTCATGCAACTGCCTTTACCCTGCACACCCCTGCCTTTTAACCCCCCAGTGAAACGAAAGGCTAGAGAGAGAGAGAGAGAGAGGTTCTGTGCTGTACGTACCCATATCTCCATCTCCCCACGGTGTGTCTAGCCATGAGTATGTGTATGACATGACAGCCTGCAAATGAAAGGACGGCTGTCATCTTAACAAGGACTACAACCAGAGAGCTGCAAGGAAGCAGCCGTGTCTAATCCAGCTCAGTTACAATAGGAGCAGACTGTCACTGTCGCACTGGCTATGCGGATTCCTGCCGCTGGTTAAGGAATGTCTAAGAGGAAGACAATTTTGTGATGCAAACGTACCTGTCAATGCTCCACCCATAAATGCATTCGTTCATAGCAACTGTTGCCAAGGCAGACAGGTTTTACAGAACGTTATCCCATTCAACCTAATGAATTTCAGTTGGAGGTAGATTTGCTGCATAATGCTGAGTTACCAGTTTAGAGCTGGACTAAATGAAACTAAGCAAGTTGGAAATTTTGCCACCATGCTAATATTACACTAGTGACATTTTTAATAAAAATGCTTTTTACAAAATTCCTGCTACAGAGCATCAAACCACATGTTGTCAATCATGGAATATCCACTGAAATATAATTTAATCCATTTGTATTCTTTTTTTCACAATTACCTAAGAATAAAGGATAAAGTAGGTGTCATCAGTGTGATTTTTATTTCAAAATAAGAGATTTTTTGTTTTGCAGTAACACCAGTGACACAACTCCTGGGGACCACAACTTTCATTATATATTTTATAATATTTATTTGGCATGTGTTTTCTTTATGTCATTTAAATCATATATTTCAAAGTCATGTAGAGATTATTGCAGTTAAAAATGCAGAAAAACATGTTTTTTACCTCAAAATATGGACCTCTCCCTTTACACATGACTGTGAGGATGAGCACGTCTGCGGTGCTTGGAATTCTATACAACTGATTTAAAAACCAATATTGCTAAATTGATGGCTCAAGAAGGTGTAAGTGTTAAAATAACAGTGTTTTATGTTAAAATATAAATAAATTGTAACCCTAACATGTTTTTAAGTGTAATATATCTGTAAAAGCTAGGAACAGAAAAACGGACGTTTTCATAGAATGACTCATTAGCTCCATGAGATGACAATAAAAAGTACACCTGGTCTAGCATAACAGTGTGACCTTTCATGAACATACAAAACAAATGTCACTTGAGATTAATAACACAATTAATTTTCACAAAAACTAAGTTGCTACAGCTGAGATGGGATTTTTGCCAATAACGGGTAAAGCTTGTTGACCCTAACAACAGTTGCAAAGAATCAATGCAATTACGGTCACAACATGGAGAGGTTCATTTCATTCTTGGACAGAAAATGCACATGTTGGCAATTTCCCTGTAAGCAAATTTAATATCTGAAATTTTGCTCCAATTAATTTTCAACTAGAAGTGAGGTGAGATAGCAAGCAGTGTGGCGCAAAAAGTTGAACTGGCTTTAATTCAATGCAAATTATAAGTGGTAGCCGCATAGCACTGACCAATCCAAAACAAGGGCAAAAACAAACTGACATTTTCCAGTAAGTAATTATTAAGCTCTTCATGTGCTGGAAACCATGTGTTGGGGCAAGAAAAACTGAAACCTCTGTAGGGCAGTGGGTCCTCAAGACTGGAATTAAGAGCCTCTAGCACACCTGACACATCCCATGAACGGCTTAATTAGCTGCTGAGTTTGGTCAAGTTTGGTCAGGAAGACTGGAGTTTGCAGATTTTAATTGTTTTGGCGTTAGGCCTACAATACCACATCACCTCTGAAAATATGCATATTCCAGAAGATATTCTATTAAAAGCCTACAAGGCATATAAACTTTTTTATGGAAACAAACAATGAACATATTGGAAACTTTCCTCTCCTTAGTTTTCCTTTAAATTATTTTTTAAAACTATTCAATACCAAACAGTGATATCAGCAGAGCGGTTGGGAAAGATGATACAGCCTCACAGTCCACCTTATAAGAAACCCTTCTTTTGTAGCTCCACCTTGCTGGTGTACAGTTAGCGACTGTAGCTCATCTGTTGGTGCAGAGTTTGTGTAAGCCATCCTCTAGCCCTTGAAAAGATTTCTGACCGCATAGCCACTCTTGACCAGACATTTTTGGGAGGTGACACTGAGTTCACTGCTGTACCTGATACACTCATACCAGCACCACACACAATACCATGACTACGTCAGTGTCACTGCTGAGTTAAGAAAGGACCACCACCCAAGTTATCTCTGACCAACATTGGTCTTGTGGTCATAAACTGACCAGTGATAAATGGGATGGAGGGAAGCTTATCAATTATGGAGCAACACATGGGCTACAAACTGTACACCTATAAAGTGGACCTGTAAGGTATGTGGAGTAGGTAGGAGATTTTAGTAGATAGTGAAAGTATGTATATGACCGATGCATAAGTGGTAAATGACTGAAGTTTTAATGGTTTGAAAAAAATATGAGATATGACGTGCCTAATAAGATGTTTATTCTAGTTTAGATGTCTAGCATATGTATGTCTCCAAGTATTCCCACTAAAACCTGGCCTGGTTATTGGCACTGGGCTTCTGTTACAGGTTGCTAAGCACCACAGGGGCTTTGTGGGCATCCTGCTCTTCAACAGTGTGTCTTTTTTGTGGAAGTCTATAGCAGCTCATGAATATTTCACCGTGCATTCACACCATGTGACAGCATTAAAGTCCAGGGTTATACTTGCTAGTTAAAACTTCATATACTTCAGTTACAAATGTTACAGTTAGGGCTGGGTATCAAAATTTGATAGTTTAATGGCACCAACAAAATTATTTTACTCATTATGTCACTGCACGTCAAAATATTCTGTATCATTCAATGTTAAACTTAAAAAAAAAGAAGCAGCAAACATCCCCACTACACAGTCTTTAAATGTGCAAGTATGACTGGAACTAGAAATAGATAAAAAAAAGAAAGAAAGATAAATTAAAATTAAGAACAAGAAAAGTCATGTAATTTTGTTCTTGTAAAACTGTATTTTTAGTGTGAATACAGAGATTTAATGTTATAGAGATTTAATACTTTGTTACCCCACCTTTCACCCTGTTCTTCAAAGGTCAGGACCCCGCCCACAAGACCACCACAGAGCAGGTATTATTCGGGTGGTGGATCGTTCTTTGCAATGACACTGACATGGTGGTCGGTGTGTTAGTGTGCGTTGCACTGATACAAGTGGATCAGACACAGCAGTGCTGCTGGAGTGCTGCTGGAGTTTTTAAACACCACCAACCAAAAATATCCAAACCAATCAAACCAAAAATAGCCTCCAGCGATCCGTGGGCAGTGTCCTTTCACTACTGATGAAGAACTACAGATGAATTACTGTCTCTGACTTTACATCTACAAGGAAGACCAACAAGGTAGGTGTGTCTAATAGTGTGGACAGTGAGTGGGCACAGTGTTTAAAACCTCCAGTAACACTGCTGTCTGATCCTGATCTGTGTCATTGTGATTGTATTTTTAAATGTGGCACTACTTTGTCTGTTCCAGGTAATCATATATCAGAAAAAATTAATACTGTGACATATCATGTATCATGAAAACTTATTATTTGCAGCTCAACTGCAAAATACCCATGGTTTTAAGTAAAAACATATATAACTGATCATTTTGTTCCGATTTATTGCTTTTAATACAGCCCTAAAAAGCTCTCCTTTTAAGGCTGCTGTCAAAAATGTGAGTTTAAATGGACTGCGGCTGATTTCTGAAGAGCTCTCAGCATATTTTATTACCCCCATGCTGAAGTGCCCACTTTTCATTTCAACTCTAGTGGCAGTAGTGGCTTAGCCAGGCAGGTTCAAATGTCACTAATCAGCCATATCTAAACATAGTACTGAGCTCTCAGCCCCTTCCCCACGTTTGCTGTTTACAGCAAATAAGCCAGTGCACTCTGAGTGACTCATCTACCTGGACATTCAGGACCAGAAAAATAGCTTTAAATAGCACAAATTAAGTCCTAATGCTATTTAAGTCGAGATGAAATTGTGTTACTGATGTGAGTCTATATATGAAAGGTCAAATTTTTATCATGCCCTGTGAAACGAGAGAAATATTAGCATAGTTTTCCATCACTGTATAATGATAAAAAAAGCTTGTGAACAAGGTGAGTAGTTCCAGTCATGCAGTTTCAATCACTTCAACTCAACAGCAGGTTTTCATGAGTGGAATCAGACATACTGGAGAAACACTAAACTGTGCAATGACTGGAATTTGACACCCCTGAGCTAAAGCTTCACTGACAGTGATTGCGTGAGTGTGTGAGGAGGCCAAACATACAACCCACTCTGCTGGCTTTTGGCTACTACAGGGCAACAAGTCAGTCACTGTCAGACTACCTACAAACCACAAATTAACAGACTATCTCATAAATGAATAGAGTTATACGATATAGAGTGGATTTAGATGTTATGGGACACTGAATAGCAAGGGACAATCGTTATTCCAATTTCAGCAGATGCTTACTGCAATACTCTAAATGATTAAAAGGAAATACTGCAAATTCAATTAAAGAATGTGTCTCATAACAACTAATACATCTTCCTGCATAACCTAACAAAGTGTCCCACATTAATTAACACAATGTCCCATTATACCTAACACACAGTGCCACATTACTTAACACAATGTCCCATTATACCTAACATGGTTTCCTGTATTACTTAACACAGTGTCCTGTATTACTTAACACAATGCGTCATTATAACAAACATACTGTCCTACATTACTTAACCCAATGTCCCCTTACACATAACAAACTGTGTCACATTACTTAACCTACTTACCAAATTATGTCCCATTATACCTAACATGCTGTTCTATATTACTTAACAGTGTTCTGTTATACTTAACACACTATCCTGTGTTACTCAACACAATGTTCCATTATACTTAATACACTGTCCTGTATTACTTGACACAATGTGTCCCATTATGTCTAACACACTGTCTTGTAATATTTAACATAATATCCCATTATACCTAAACATTCTGCCTTGTATTATTCAACACAGCGTCCTATTATACCTAACACACTGTCCAGTATTATCATTTGTTAGATATAAATGTCAACTTGTACCTAACACATTGTCCCATGTTACTTACCACAATGTTCCATTATACCCAACACACTTTCCTGTATTACTTACCACAATGTCTCATTATACCTAACACACTGTCCTGTATTACTTACCACAATGTCTCATTATACCTAACACACTGTCCTGTATTACTTACCACAATGTCCCATTATACCTAACACACTGTCCCAAATTACTTAACACAATGTCCAGTTATTCCTAACACTCAGTGCCATAAAACCTAACACTCTGTCCCTAATGTTCACCATACTTGAAATCCACACCATACATGGTGTTAAAAATACAAATAAGACTATGCACTCAAAGGAATAAATAAATAATCAAATAATTCCTAGATCCTTGCATCCGTTGCAGTTTATAGCAGTGTAATGATCTGGTAATCTGACCAATTCCACAGCGGATTTGTGCATTAAATCAACAAAACCTAAATAAACTTTAATAAAATAAAAAATGAACAAATTAAATAAAAAGTGGATGAACATACATAATAAACAAAACAAGCAAACAAATAATTAACTATATAACCTCGTGACAGATGCTCATTCAATCTCTGCGCGCTGCCGTTACGTAACAAGTCGTACAGTTCTCGTACCGCACGTGATCTTTTGCCGGAGTCTGTTTAAATCACGTGAAAATTAATCTCATCACTAAACGCGTTTTATCCGCTACAGCTGGTTTGTGCGGTGCAGTGTCACACAGCCAATCGGGGTCTGTGCGCACAAGCTCGTTTTGTTTGTTTGTTTGTTTGTTTACTCACCCTGACTTGTTAAAATGCCCCAGCGCGATTTCTTTTTTGCGGGGAAATCGGCCGCGTCCTCTAGTCTCCGTTTCTTGCTCTCGCTCTCACCGCCGCTGTTGGGAACTTCGGGCATGTTTGCTGAAACGACTTCGAAGTCCTGAATGAATCGTTTGTCTGAACCAGTTCGTTTTAATGAATCATTCGAGCCGATCCACAGTCCCAACTAAAAAGGGCGTCATTTTTGGCATCTGTGCCGTGTTTACATAGTGTTAGGCTAGGAGGGAGAATAAAATGCAAATAATAATCACTAAAAATGTAACCTATTAAATTATGACATAAAATACCAACAACATCGTTGAAGACGTTTACGTCACAGAAACGGACTGTTCAAAAGAGTCGGTTCGGCCTACTGAATCGAACTACAAGTCACTTGTTTCGTGTCGGCGCTGCAGACCTTCACCCTGCCTGCGCTGATTGGTCGACGCGGTTGTGGTTGATGTTTTTGTTTTGGAATGCGTCAAATCCTATTTTTTCCTACCAAATTCCTTCTTCCGTGCGCCGGGATTGGTGCGTAGTTTAAGCTCATGAACATTCCGTTGTTGGGTGATTGGCCTCTAGGTTATTGATTGTAGTTGCGCTTTTTTTCCGGCCAAGTCCCGCCTACTCTGCACTAGGATTGGCTAGTTCAAAGTCCCAAGCGTTGGTGAATGGGGATTGGTCCAACTGGTCACTAACTGATTGGCTGTTTATGTTGTTACTTAGTTCACACTCATAACTCCCCTGTGTGGTGATTGGTCTAACCGGGCGCGTGGCTGATGTTTTCTTCAGAACACGTCGTTCTTCTTTCCCGCCAAACTCCGATTGCTTGATCGCTTGTGAAAATAATCTACTAGCCAATCGTGGCGCAGGTGACAAGATATTTGCAGCCAATCGTAGCATAGAAGGAGGCGGGACTTGGCGTTAGCATGGCGCTGCTATTTCTGTCTCAGGTTAAGCTTTGCTGAACGTAAGTGACATTTTCCGCTGTGACACGACAACTCTGGAATTTCTTTAGATAATACTTAATGCTACCTTTTCATCAGATTTAGGTAATGTACTGTTTGAAAACAATGTAGTTTTTAGGATTTCTTTCCATAAGGCACTGTTTCAGAAATGCCTTATCTTTTTTATTCTTTGTTCCATATTATAATTTCTTAAGTGTTAAAACTAGTACAGCACAAATTGTCGCCTAAATCCACCAAATAAACCACTGTATTGACATATAAAATGTAATAACTTGGTTGTGTGAAATAGTATGCATCTAAAATGCCCCTTTTTTGTAATTTTAATGAAAAAACGTTTATAACCTTACTGAACCAAAAGTAAAGTAATGCATATATGCAGACACACACACACACACACACACATATATGTGTGTGTGTGTGTGTGTGTATATCTCACATTATCTCACATGACATGATAGCACATGTATGTTTATATATATATATATATATATATATATATATATATATTATATATATATACACACACACACAACATAATGTGCTATCATGTCATCTGATCGGAGATAATGTTAGGAGTAACTTATTAACTACAGCAAATTTATTTCATAAACACTAAATAAGTAACCTAACCTTGTAACCCTCTTGATTCTGTCATTCATTTTGATGTACAGTTCATAAATGTATTTTGCACTAAAATAATAATACAGCCAAATATTCTACTGACACAGCATTTCACCTAACTGCCAATGATATAAATCTCCAAATAAGAACATTAAGTACAGTTTACTGGTTAGATTTCCAAGGATTTTAATGAGCTGAAATGCCATTTTGCATAACAGTAGGCCTGTAGTGTATGGGCAGATGCTGTATCCTCCCATGCTTATCCTGAAACCTGCATCAAAAGTAGGCCACCTCTTTGTCTGCTGTATGAAATCACTGCCATTTTGGTCCTCAAGCCAAAGTCTTTACAGAGGCAATAACATTGAGAGAATAACTTAAACAAACTTGAACTGCATGTAGGATACAATCATGTACTGACCAGGTTCTCAGGGACCTGTGTTATAAAGAGATCCATTTTGATGTAAAACTAACCTTCTTCCACTGTTCCAAATCCACACAGATAAGTAAACAAATGCTACATGAAAACTACTAAGCAAGATACGTCATCCAGCCCCAAACTCACACATCATCCTGTTCCCAAAGCTCCATTATGCATGTCAGAAACAAACCCAGCTCACTTACTGTGCCCTTGGCCAAAATCATAGAACTCTGCCGCAATGCGGGCCGCCTCCTTACGATTCCCCTTAACCACATAGAAGTGTGTGAGGATATTCAGGCTGATCTTTATGAAGAGCTTGAAGCAGAAGAGAGCGAAAATGGAGAGGTAGACATTGGTGTACTGCGAGCCAAACGGCCGCTCCTCCAGAACTTCAGTCATTGCTGCTGACCGCTCTCTTACTGTGAGTGTTTTGGAATGAGGGTCAGCCGGGGATGTGTTGACACAGATCATATGCCACGCGGGCTGAGTTTTTCCCCTCTGCCCACCCACCCCTGGCAGCTGGGCCCAGAGCTGGACCCAGATAAGGCAGCTGTACTCTCTAGCATTGGAAAAATGGGACCACTTAGCAGAGGCATGGCAACGGGCTTTGTTGTTGTGGAGCAGGGGGAAAAACACAGAATGCCTGTCATGAATGGGTTTGGTGTGGTGTTTTGTTGTCCCTGTTATGGTGCCAGTGAGGGGAGAGATGTGAAATGTGACACAAGAAGGGTTCCTACAGTGTAACATGCTGGACACTGTCCTGTCACGTAGTTTTTCCAAGTCATCATGTTTGTAGTTGTTTACCACTCATGCAACTGTCATACTCACATATTAGACTGTATTTCTAATATCACAGTCTTTTGATAATATATAATATCCTAAAATATTAATATCTTTGAAGGTAATTTGGAACAGTAAAACACAAGTAAGCCCATGTCTGGTAAAACAGGTGGCAAGAAATTAAATTTTGTGTAAACATACACTATATTTTTCTGTCCGTTACAATTTGGACTGACAAGTCTATAAGAAAGCCAAAATAGATCTTCTTTTGATTATTAGGGTTTGAAGAATGCACAGGAAGCATTCAAAGGAAGGCAATTGCCTATGTCTGAAAACATCCAGGAGGGAGACCTCTCACTTGATTTACTTGTCAATAAAATGACAAATGTGAAACACCACACTTTGACCTTTTTTATAAAACCACCAATAAAGCCACCCCTTTTCACTTTGCAGAAAAAATCTTGTGAACAATCCATGACAAATTCTGTGATTAAATCCTTCTGTGACTAACACTGCTTCTCTGGCACAAGCCAGCTTGTCTCTGCCACATATTGGTATGTTCCACTGTTATATGAATACTGAATATCAAACCAGTCAAAGGTGACATAAATAATCCCAGACTGTAGTAACACAGAATATAGCTGCAGCTGTTAACTGAGACCTGTCACTGAAATCACATAATTGAAGTCTCAATAATGTTCTTTGCCAGTAAAAGTTTAAACTGATGCAAAACAATGTTTTTATATTATTTAAACTATGATGAAAACCACATTTGGTACTGTTTGAAGACTGACACTGTTTAGGCACCCAGTGTTTTGCTGACAGGCAGACAGACAGACAGACAGACATTGGGCTCCTCATTGTCTACATCCACCATAAACTATATGAATATGTATTTTTAGAACACTCACAAAACATTCCCATCTAGGGAAATTCAAAAGCTAATGGAAATCGAGAAATTGCACACAGACTTATGAAGCTCTTGCACCATGTCTAAACACACACTTCCAAGATGCTTATAATCTTCCTTACAGTAAAGGCATTGTAGATATAGATATGTAAATGATATGTAATATGCTAAAGTTATGAAACTATGGTGGCTAGTGTCACTCACCTAGTGTTTTGCTAACACACATACACCTTAGGTTCGTTCTACTCTAAATCTAAAGGAGATTAATATTTATGATGTACAATACTGTGCAAAAGTCAGAGGCTGTCGCCCCATCTATTGATTTTTCAGTGCCAGGGAGGAGTTTAGAAATATATATATATATTTAACAGAAAGTTACACACAAGCCTCAACACTTAAAAATAATACCAAATTTTTCCATGTTTATTTGTGAATATGTGCAACCTGACCAGTGCTAAAAGAGACAAAACAAAGTAATTGAAATCTACCAGCCTAGAAATGGTCACAAAGCCAATGCTAAGGCTCTGGGACTCCAGCGAATCACAGTGAGAGCCATTATCCACAAATGGAGAAAACTTGGTACAGTGGTGAACCTTCCCAGGAGTGGCAGGCCTACCTAAATTTCACCAAGAGTGCATTGATGACTCATTTAGGAGGTCACAAAAGAGCCCAGACGAACATCTAAAGAACTGCAGGCCTCACTTGCCTCAAATAAAGTCAATGTACACAATTTCACAATAAGAAAGACACTGGGCAAAAATGTTTGGGATAATATTCTGTGGAATGATGAGTCAAAGGTGGAACTTTTTGGAAGACATGGGTCCCATTACATCATAACATCATACCAAGAGTCAAAAAATGGTGGTGGCATTGTGAAGACCTGGAAGACTTGTCGTAATTGATGGGACCATGAATTCTGTTCTCTATCAGAAAATTCTGTAAAAGCATGTACGCCCATCAGTTTGTGATCTAAAGCTCAAGCACAGTTGGGTTATGCAACAGGACAATGATCTGAAGCACAAAGTCCACCTCTGAATGGCTCAAAAGAAACAAAAGTCCTAATTTGAATTCCATTGAGATGCTGGGGCAGGACCTTAAACGTTGATGCTTGAAAACCCTCCAATGTATCCACATCTAACAATTCTGCAAAGAGTAGGGCAAAAGTCCTCCACAGCAATATAAACGACTCATCACATTTGATTGTAGGTATTGCATTTAGGGAGCAATTATTATTATTGCATGGGTGATATAGGTTTTAAATAAATCTTTATCTTCAATAAATAGAATGATCATTTAAAAGCTGCATTTTTGTGTTTACTTATGTGGTCTTTATTTTATATTAAAATTAGCTGGATGATCTGAAACATTTAAATGTGACAAACTGGCAAAAATAGAAGAAATTGGGTGAGGGGTACACTGCTACCCCTCAGCCTCACATACTTTTTCATAGCACTGTACATTAAAATGACTTCTGCTATCCTTCCCTCAAAATATTTATGGGAATAAGTTCTGCTGCCTTCCTCTCTATTTTACCCTCTAGGCCATGTTTCGCTTGTTCACTTGATTTTCACTCTGCAAATTGATGGTCTTGTTCACTTTTGAGCATTTTAAACATTCCCCTTCTACTTAGAATCTCATCTCATCTTTTGTGCACTTCATACCCAAGCTCAAGGGCTCCTTCTAATCTTGATTGTAACAATCACCTACCAGGCTCAGTCAGCAGCAGAGGCTGCTGAATATCCAGATTTTGTATTGCTGCCCTCTTGTGTGCTTTACTGACTACTGATCAGAAACTGACCTATGCAGTAGACCAGCAGAAAATTAGACTCATTATGTTTGATGTTGTCACAATGCTCATAATTCT